TCGCAACACTACCCTGAAAAGCAAACGCGAAAAATAGTATTTCGCAACTCTACGAGCAATCGCGTTTATCAATAATTCGCAACGCTATTTTTAAGCAAACATTCGGTACCTAAGTTTGCAAAAAACCAATCGCGTATCGTGTCAAGGCGCAACACTACCCTGAAAAGGAAACGCGAAAAACAGTGATTCGCAACTCTACAAGCAAACGCGATTATTGGATATTCGCAACTCTATGTATATCATAACCGCGAGTTATGGGGAGAGATGGCTGGCATGTATGGTGCAATCATGTACCATCAGGTACATGCATACGTGAGCCAGTCAGAAAAATAAACTAACTACAACTACAGACGAGTTAAGTGACAAAGTAGTAACAGGAATGACTTTCCATTCTCATCCGAGGATGAAGATGAAAAGCCATTTGTTGCAGCCCACTCTTGCGACAGTTTGTCAGGGCCTCTTCAGCTCATTGAGAGTCTTTTCTTTCTTCGGCGGTCCTGCCGATGCCTGAAACTTACGAAAGACCGGGCTCGAGATTTTGTGCAATACGTAGTCTTCCAACAATATACGAATTGTTGCAAGAGCATACGTGGTGAATCTCGAGGGGGACGAACGTTTCGAAAGGGACCTAATCACGAGCGCGAGCGCGAGAGAGCGACTTTAAGAGTCGCGCGATTCGAGGAGTCGAAAATAAAGCCGAAACAAACAGCACAAGTGCACCGTTTCAATCAGCAAGATTTCTACTCTCGAAATCGTAACTACAGGAACAGAACTGCCACGCGGAAACGCGCCTACCCGAATTACTAATGTGGACAGTCCTGCCCTGACCCTACCTACTTAGATTAAGCACACACACACCAGAGAAAAAGTTACCTACCTACCTAACCCTATATTTAAAAAATTGCAAAACTCATTCTCGCAAACAAACACTCCACGGTACTCACGCATAATATTCGGGCGCGACCTAAACTAGAGAGGATTCCCCGGGGTTCCTCCGACACCCGAATATTGCAAACATTCACACTCTAATTGTGGACTTACTAGTTTCTGAGACTGACAAGGGCTAGTGATCTTTGCGTACTTATATTATATGTATACATAAATATATGGAACATAGTATTTAATAAAATCTATTGCATAAATGTATCATTGAAGATTTAAATCTATTAAGATCAACAGTTTTCAAATAAATGATAAATTGAAATTTGATATTATTATTGATAAAAATCTAATGTTATAAAATTCTGTATGTAAATTGCAATCATAAAACATCTGAAACGACGCACTTCCACAACCTAACCACACACACACACATGTGGACAGTACGTCGCGCACGATTCACTAGCCAATGTCAGTCGTCAATATGTCGTTGAATTGTTATAAATAAATTCATCGTGCCCCGTTGCCCTCGCTCATGCAAATAGCACCTGGGCATGTGCATGAACTTAGGCAACGAACACGGAAAAATTACTCTGAAAATCCTGACTAGAAAAACTAGTTAATAGCTAAACGGTATTTCGTATCTAATTTTTAGTTAAAATGACTCGACTTGTTATATGTAATATATCAATAATAAAATACGTTACTATTGAAAAATACTACTATTCAATAAAACTATTATAATTGAAATTGAATTATTTAAAATAAAAGACTCTACTTGAGATTTCATGATAAAAGAATTTACTTTAAAAATTGAAATTAATTCATTAAATTGTTAATCAAAATATTCAATTATCCTTGATCGATTCTGTCGTCAAAGTAAACTTTTTAAAAGATGAAACTAGTATAAAATACATGTTACTTTGACTCAAAAATCGACCTGTCGCGAAATGCCTTCTTGCACGTTAAATACATCGTGCGATGTATTAATTAAGTAAACGATCAATAGTTAATAATTTATATTAATGCTGTAAATATTGTTGTACAGTGTCATATTAATTATCATTCATATTCTACGCGATCATATGATAAATATAATGTTTTCACATTATATTAATTCATTTTCTATTCAATCATATAACTGTGTTATATATATTTGTAAAAATTTTATAATAATCACAATGTGTAATATTCATTTGTAATATTAAGAAACGCGAGTGCAAGAAGACCCTAAAACCTGCTCTAAAAAATATAACAGATGATGTTACTATTCACTTAACTCGTCAAAAATAGCAAGTATACAACTGGTCACCCGTGTTGATTCGGATCTTTCATCCTACAACATGGTTGGGGACCAGAGGAAACAAAATAGCATGCGACTTACCAATGATGACTTGAAGTCCTCGAAATCATCCATCAGTCATCCATCAGTCAGTATGGTCCTGCTGGTTAGATTCAGGTCTAGAGACTGTAACAAAAATGCAAGAAAACAATTAGAATCGATTGTTAAAATTATAGAGATTTTTAATTAACAAATTTCAAAGTATAAATTTATACTTACGTTGTTCGCTCGTGGTCCGCCGCCCGATACCCCCCGGGTACTGCTGCTGGTTCCCAGGATCATGTTCAGAAACTGTAAGAAAACTGTAAGAAAACAATTAGAATCTATTGTCAAAACTGTAGAGATTTTTAATTAAAAATTTCAAAGTATAAATTTATACTTACATTGTTTGCTCGTTGAGCATCGCCCAATAGTCCTCTTCGGTGATGCACTGACTCTAATTCCGGTAACGAGGAGTTTAAATTTCAAATTGAAAAAATAATTAATTTGATTGGAAAGTATTAAATTAGATTACCGCGACCGAAGATTGAAATCGGCGAACAAATGATTCTATTATCGCGATTCAGAAAACAGAAAGAGCCACGATGCTCTGGAAGTAATTTAATATTGCGTAGAAAACACTGCTTCTATTCTCGCGTTTGCCTAACATCGCGAACGACAACGTACTCGGGGTCACTTTGCCCCGAGAAACAAACATGTTGCTACGCACAATCACTGAATCTACCGGCCGCATTGCGCGCGGCCAACAAATTTCCTGGAAAGAAAAGAGCTGAAAAGAAAGGGACAGGAGATAAGAAACACAACAAGCACATCTGTGCTCAGCCTACTGGTTTTCTTTTTTCATCTTCTTACAAGAGTTCGTCAACAGAAATACTGCTTTACTTAGTACTATTGTATACATAATTTGTCACGTAAAAATTCAATGCCACGAAGGCGAAATATTCTCAATCAATGGATTTCAACGATAAAATATTATCTACGAAAATAATTACGTGCAAGTAATTATTCAATTTATAAATATTATATCACTAAATATCATAGTTAGAGTTGTAAGCATGATTATGTTTACTTCATCGAATGTGAGAATATCCGATAATTTTTATAAATATTCCGAAATTTGCAAGAATTAAAGTTCGTTGGTTATTTGTGCTCGAATAGCATATTTCAACGCCGAAGTTACTACATTTTCTTAAACTTGCATCGAAATATATATGCAAATTGCAATTACAACAATTCATAAAGAAATATGAACAATCGATTAAATAAATAACACTCGGAAATATTTAATCGCGATCAGAATACAGTTAAATATAAATTATTTCAATTTATCGTCGATATCTACCGACGCCATTTCTGTATATTTCGATATTATATCGAAGTGGATAAAAGGTTTGTCAAAGATTTTCATAATTTATCTTAACAATGGCCGATTCTAAAATTATGATCATGCTTGCAACTAATGACACAATAAAGAGATACAAATATATAAATATTGATATAGATGTTAATTTTGGTTACAATTGTTTAGAAGTTACCAATACTCCCTCCAAAATTTTTCGACTCCTCTGCCATCTGTTATGGTGTCGTTTACGCGCCAATGAAACTTTCCATGGCGTCGAATTTCAATCAGAGACTGCAACAGAAACGAAAGAACGATGCATTAAAGTACACGAACGATTATTACAATTTAGTAATGATTAAATCGAAACCGTATTGCAAGAGATCGTGGATGGATAAACAGGTTAGAAATACGCACCTCGGCCGCGAAACGCCGATACGTCTCGACACGTCTTGCTATGTTTATTTTCAAAGTATGAATGATGGCCGTCCGCTGTGCTCGGCAACGCTCGCGAATTAGGCGGCGGGGTGGGGGAAGCTCCGATGTCTCGCGAAACTTGTATTACGAACCCGAGGGATACCTCGGATAGAAACCGCGGATAAACTGATTTTAGCAAATTATTTACAACTTTAACTAGTCAAGGAAACGCGAATAATTCGTACTTTTCAACTCGTATGCATTTACACGCAATTAGCTGCTGCCTATCACACTAATTCAGTGAATTTCTCAACTGACCGCCATCCATAAGAAGAGGCCGCTAAAATCATCTCCGAATTTTCAGGTCGGTATGGCAGTTAGATTCGGCCACGAAAGTCCATAAGGTGAAAGCACAGATGAGGTATATGATCATATACCTCGTCTATGGTTTCGTATACGAAAGCTGAGCAGTTCTTTACACATTCAGAATGGTATATGGCAATAGCAAGCAACTCCCTCGCGTTTCTTCAGGCGCAGACTTGTCTGTGCTTCAGGCAGCCGCGTATCTGCATTTCTGTGCAGAGAATGGTTGCTGTAATACCGACCTGCTGAATCCACGAGGTCACGTGCCGTGTCTACTTTATGATACAATCAGACCTTGTATTAGAGACAACAAGCCAATCACAAGCAAATAATATGAGTAACCCGTTAAAAACTTATGTAAATAAAATATGGTAACTTTCAATTGTACGACGAGGGGAGTAACTGTGGCGGCACAGTTCACAATCATTTTAAAAACCCTTTTTGTTTTTCCACGGCAACCGCGATTTGTTACAAAGATTCTAAGCAATTATCACGTTTCTGTTATTGAATATTTAATAAAATTTATTATATTATTATAAATCGTGTTGGAAATATACTATACACAGTAATAAGCAGTAGCAGAAGAGAGATACTACAGTACAGCAGTGTATGTATTTGTATTCGATGCATCGTCTGGTATGGAACTCAACTAGATGGCAGTGGAATCGTTTATATAATAGTGCATTTTTTTTATTATAAAAATAAGCTTTGGACTAAGTTTACTAAATAGACGGGCGTATATAGTTTCAAGTTAATATATATTATGCTTAACATGATGTGTAACCATGTTCTAGCACATAGAAAAGTAGAAATTACGAATATCTGTAATTGTCGGATACTTAAACGGAAGAATTTACAATTTCACATATTTGTTTACTTTTGATTTGTTTACTTTTGCAACCAACGGGCTTCTTTTTCGGTTCTTACAATCTTGTCATATTCCGTTTGATTTTTTTTAACAATAGTAATTTCCTTGACCGTTTAACGGTTTTAATTGCGTTTCGGACGATTGTGTATGGCCGACCTCGCCAGCGTGGATTTCGTAGGAAATACAATGAGCATTCTGTTTGATGTACTTTCGTGTAATTTTATCGGTGAATTTAGTTCAAACCATCTACCGTATAACACAAGTTCGAGTGTTGTTCCTTTCAAATAAGTACAATGAGTATTTCGCACGTTTCCGATGTATATTTGGAAGAAGAAACACCGGCGTTGGGTAAAGAAAGAAATTTGGAAGACTTATTGTCTATGCTATCCGAGGTATAATGCTACTCATATGATCATTCGCGTTTGAATAAAATTCTATTAATGAAATCCTTTTGTTCATATAGGAATTGGATGCTTTAGGGATTGAACCAGTGACAATGAATGTTAGTAACGAGTCTCCTCTTCAGGCACTAGTCGATGTGTCCATGAAATTGGTTGATGCATCCTGGAAGTTAATTCATAAACACAGATTACAGATGAAGAAGTACGATCAACTCAACGACGTTTGTTCCAAGATCTCAAACGATAATTATAATCTTAAGGTAAGTCTTTATTTTTCTTAACCTTAGCGGTATAATGTTGGTTCCTTTCTTGTTACAAGCTACTTAGGTACATAAAAAGGATAGGTGTTACAGGCAAAAGGTAGTTGGTCCAAACAACTATCTCTTACTTGCTAATGTAGACGTACTTACGCTGTATGTGAACCTATTTCTATTTTAGAATCGCATCGAGGCATCGAGAGAGGCAATGGAAAAGCAAAATCGTACCTTGAGTCAAACCCTGGAAAGAGAGAGAAGATCGAAGGAAGAAATTCGGAAATTAACATGCGAGCATAAATGTCTAAAAGAGGAGGTAAGAATGTACTCTTGTCTCTCTTTGTTTTTATATTTCCATACCCTTTGCTCGTGTGCTTTGTGGCAACCGACGTTCTGTCGCTTCAGACAGTCAAGTTGGGAAAATTATTGCGGTCGAAGGAGGATCAACACGAACACGAACTGCGACGCGTTGCACGAACTAGAGAAAAATATCGAGATCAATTGGAAAAGATGATGGGATGCGAAACGAAAGGCGAGAGAAAGGTACGAATGGGTCGTGACGAAGGACGTTCTACCGGTTACGACGAGACTGTTCTTCGCTTGGAGGAAAATAATAGAACCATGATTGAAGAGATAGGTCGTTTAAGAGAAGCGTTAGCCCTCTGCTCCACCTCTGCTAACTCTCTGGTCGATTCCCGGATCGATCAGCCATTTGGATCGATATGAAAATAAGGACTTACCGGTATATTTACATATCAATAACTATCAATAACATTTCGGTTTCGATATCATAGCCATCTCAGTATTGTATCAGTTTCTTAGCTACCGCTAAATATAAATAAATATACCGGTATTTTCGTTATAGGTCCCTACACAGAAGCGTAATAGAGGCCATAAATCGCAATGATTCAATGCACGATCGTTCCAAATCAGTTTGGTTAATTCCAAATACAATGTATTTCATTTGTTACAAAATTTGAATTTTAGCTTTTATTTACAATATCTTTTTAAGGTTAATTTGTCGCAGTACACTTTACAATTATTGTTCAAATAATTTAAATTATCATACAAAACATTGTTGCGTTTATGGTCCTCGTAACGTTCGACGCTTCTATCGAAATAGCTAAAAAATTGTCGATGACCGAACGGTCAGCAGCAACAGAAATTTAAAGACGAACGTCGAAGGAATGAAAATGGCCGCGCTCTGCGTACTCCGGGCATTACTTTTCGTGCATTTGCAATCACCGGCTATGCATATCGTGTTATTTTGACCGAGTAACCGGGTCGTAACGCGATCCCTTTTCCTATAAACTATCTCTCGATACGCAGAGTGTCGATGCTGCGCGGATAGAGGGACTTGTCGTACGTGATCAAAGGTATCCGCCGTATGTTGGACAACTTCAGCTATTTTGCACGATTATCTCTGTTATTTGATTCGCCCCTATGATATCGGTAAGGTGTAGATTCGCGTACCTGCAGGAACTGATTTGCAGGTTCGTCACGTTCTCGTAGTCGTAAGAGCAATTCCTGAAAAATAACATATTCTTTAGCAAGCGTGACTAAAAGACAAAGGTCGCGACCAGGACCTCTCATAGAACGAAGGAGGTCCTGGTCTTACCTTTTACAGATCCTCGTAAGGAAAGTGCAAGACCTTGGGGACGTCGATTTAATTGTAACTTCGTATACTGATAGATTTCATTATCCTTTTTGTAAAAATATAACGTTATAAAGTTATAAATATTTTTCTAGTTATTCCAGTATTTACAGCTTTTAAGGCTTTTAAGTATTCCCATGTATAGAGATTTTTGCTTGACACTTTTATTATGTTTGTAATTTTCATCTTTAATAATTATCTACGTTGGTACGTCTCTCTCTACGCTTACCTCGTTTCCGGTGTTCGTTTCTTCATTTGTTGCTCTTTCTTCTACTTGTACGAACACGTTTTCGACAATCTGGTTCTCGAAAAAGTCGCGCTGTCGTTGCGGATGACTAGCACCGAATAAAAATCGTTTGCGATCATCGAGATTAAGGTGCCGCTTTTATGTTAAGTGACATTCGCATTGCTCGATCGCGACGCGTTTCATTCGATAAATTGGCCGGTAGATGGACGTGAATCGGTTCGGTGAACTTGTGTTAGTTGGAGGTGATTGGGATCGTCCTGTCGGGTATTCGAGTACACGAGTACACGCTGGAAAACCATGGCGTGAATACACCGGAACTGCTATGTCATAGAAACACAAAGAGGTTTGCCATTGCTTTTGGCGGGTTTTTATCCTCCGTAGACTCCGTTCCCCGTCCATTCGGTGATTCATTTCTTCTCGTCTCGCCCGAGAGTTTTTAAAATTATAACTCTACTTTCGGTACGGCGAACAGGTAATCATTGTGCGAATAATCAAGGCTCCATTATTGAAAATAAAGGCAACGTTTGTACCATGTGTATTTGTAATATTGTACACGCGCGAGAGAGCGTGAGTATCTCTATGTATAGTCGAACAAACATAGCACTCTGCTTAACACATTGACTGCCAGTCTTCCACATTTAGAGACGTCTTCGACGTTTGTACAAATTATAAAAAATAGAAATATTCGATAATTCAGTAATATACCAGTTATTTTATATTATTCCTAATTAAAGTGCTGGCCATCATAAGTGACCACCATGGCAGGCAACGTGTTTAGTCTTTAATCTGCTCGTCTTTTGATGAACAGCCTCTTATAGTATAACATTACAAAAAGATGCATCCAACATTTTTTGTGAGATTGCTACATTTGTTCCATCGTGTTGCAGTAATGCATGGTTAACTTCCCACGATTCAACCCTTACAATTCCTTCCACTCTGCATCTTAAGTTCAATGAAACCAGTCATTGTGTGTATTAAGTCAATTAAAAGTAGTGTGATATAGAATCCAAAGAATGTATTGGTACCATTTTTAGACTAGACCAGTGTTTTAGTTTATTATTATGAAAGTTTTGATGTCTGATAAAATGTACACTTGTTTTAACTGATCACATAATTAAAGTTTACTGAATCTGATTACAAAGTCAACCGTAGTTAGGTTAGGTAGAGTTACAGTATGAGGTAGGTTGACTAATGTTATTAAGAACTTACTTTAGTCTTGTTTTATTATTATAAAACATTAATTACCTTCTCTGGTCTCCCTATCTGTTGTATAAGTAGATACATTGACACTGGGTGAAAGATTTCTTACTGCAACCCTGACCGTGATCCGAGCCCTTATCTGAGTCTGTTTTATGTCACTTGGCTATATCCATCTACTCTCCTCCTGTTATAACCATTCTTTTTCTTTGTCAAACAATGTTCGAGATCGGTTCTACAAAGAAATTTGCCATCCGTCGCACGCAACTTTGCACTGTTAAGGTTCGAAATCATATGAAAGTTAACCGTGCATGCAAAACGATATCTCTACGAGCTGAGTTTCAGTTTCTCGTGTTCGTTCCTTCTCCGTACATTTTTGAAACAGTCATGTACATATCAATCGTTCTGCGATTAAAAAAAGAACACGACCTTTTTGGGGCTGATCACAAAACGTCGATAGGATGGTATACGAGTAGCTAGCCTCATTGTACGTAGAGTAGGCGCGGTTACGTTAAGAATGACTTCGTAAGCGTTCGTGTTCATCTTTGGACGAGTATACCGTGGCGTCGTAGAATTCCCTTCGTTTCACGACCTCTTGTAAACAATTTTTCGTATCGCATCTTTCCTCTCCGGCGAGACGAGAGCCAACGGTGTCTTTCCTTCCCGATTTAGCACGTTCGTATAACCCCCGGCGTAAACCAACTGCCAGAAGATATCTCTTTGCTTCTCCAGAGAAAAGCTGTTCGAAACGGTCGCCGCCTGGTGCAGCGCCGTGTTGTGATTATAGTTGGTCATGTTCACCAGATCGGTATCGTGCGTATCCAACAATACCTGTAAGCGAATCAACGAATTAGGGGCTCTAATGAGATTAAGTTGAATTTAGACTCAGGATGCTCATCCATACAAGATTTAAATCATTTTTATTTTATTTAAGGATTATGATTATTATTTAACCATCTATAAATATACAGTAAAGTTTGAAATTGTTAAGGATTTTGGTAATGGTACTGATAGTGCTAATTAAAGTTTCTCTTCTCAATAAATGGTGATATTTAAATATTTTGCTTTTCCTAGACTTTGTGTAGAAATACTATACTTGCTTTCAGTCTGCGTTAAAAAAAATGGCGAGTACGAATGGTTTTTATTTTTGCTTTGCTCATGACTCTATGTCCTTTTTACCCAAAAAGGACATCTTTTATTGCTGCAAGGATTCTTAATCGAATGTCAATACTCCCTGCCATTTCGAAAGCTACTGAAACGAATTCGATCATTGAATGGTGTAAGTATTTCAGCTTTTATTCGTCACGTTCACTATAAAGTGCAAAGTCTAAATTCGCCAATTGCTTTCTCAGGTTGAAACGCGGATGCAGTTTGTAATCTTGACTATGGATGATTATTCAAAGCGAGGAGGTGTAAATTCGGTTCTAGAACCAAGGTAAGCGACTCGTGGAATTACCGTTACGAGAACAGGATCGCAGTTCAAGGATACGGCCATGTGCAGCGCGGTGTCCCCGCATTTCGTCTCCGTTATTTTAGGATCGGCACCGTGCTTCAACAGCAATTTCACAGTTGCCACGCATATGACTCCTTTAGCAGGATTGTGAGATCGCACCGCGACGTGAAGTGCGGTCTTCCCTATGAAAATCAGCGGGAAAATCGAAATTAGTTCTATCGCGAACCGATACTCGGAAACTGTACTTCGTTCAATGACAAAAGGCAGCATCTGTCTCTATTTGTCGACTGCCTCGATTTGCCTCGTTTGTTTATATTTACTGCCAATTATCGTTGAACCAAGTATGGATACATGCGGGTAGCGCGAAACTCGGAATGGTTTCTGGACCACTATTCTGCCTGAGATCTATCGATCTACCCGCACACCCTTATCAGAAACTATCAAGACAAACCGTCGTAATTGCGCCTCGACAGGTCGAAGACTGCATGCCCTTGGACTGTTTTTAAAGCTAATAATTCCGCGAGTATTTCGCCGTGGGAGTCCCCTTGCTCCGCGGCCGCGTGTATCAGCGAGTTGCCCTGCGAATAGTCAGTCAGCGAATTAAACAGTCTGAGGGACGAAGTGGGTAGAATGCTTGACAAGCTTACACGTATGTGATACAGTCTTTGACTGATGTCGATCCCTTTCTGTAACATCGTCGCGGCTAGGTATCCGGTAACGTAAGAAAATTCCGGGCAATTCAGAGCGGCTAAATACAGAGCGTCCTCGCCGCGATTGTTCATAACCGTCAGAGCCCCCGGGGACATGCTCAACCGTTCAACGAGCGGCACCAAGTAAGCCCTCTTCTGCGCCAGTTCCTCCGGATGGCCCACCAAACACATCAGCATGCTGTTGGGAAGCGTGAAATAAATCCGCGGAATAGAAAGCTAGTTTCACGGTGGTTTGTTCGCGATCACGAACGTTCTTACGTGTCTCCATCTTCGTCCTGCTTGGCCAGTTCCGACACCGATCGTTTCAACAAACAGCTCATGGCCCTCTCCACCGCCTTTGGGTCCAACTCTTCTTTTAACCTCTCGCTCGCGTTTGTAGATGGCAGGTTCAACGATGGCCAGGGCAGTATGCTGCGATAATCAACGAATTGTTATTTTGTTAAAGGCTTGGAAACAATGTCTATAAAATAGAACTGGTTTGAGAATACGAATCGATTACTATGACGGTTTGCAATCGTTGAGGTTTCGATAAATCGGGACTTACTGTCGTAGCTGAGGACTCGAGGGTTTCCGTTCCCTCTGTGGCCGTTCGAATGGAGAAACGATATTAGCGCCCATGATCGATGAAGGATGATGATGACCAGCGAATGGTGGATTGCTCGTTTGAGGTGCGTCCGGTTGAGGAATATTTCTTTGCATCGGGTACAAGACGTTATTAGATCTCGGCGCATTGCTTTCTTCTCGTGTTTCCTTCTTCTCGAGTGGATTGCTCGTTTGAGGTGCGTCCGGTTGCGGAATATTTCTTTGCATCGGGTACAAGACGTTACTAGATTTCGACGCATTGCTTTCTTCTTGCGTTTCCTTCTCCTCGGGCTCCTCTTTCTCCAAGTCTCTCAGGAATTCCTCGATCAACTGCCACTCGTCGATCGTGTCGACTGTATTTGTTGTGTTATTTGTCTCACTATGTATGAGCGATTTGAGATGGTCGCCGTTCCAGGTCAAGCTCCTCAGATCTTCGCCCAACTGTTCGTTCACTTGATTGTCTGGACTCGGTGTGTCGCTGTACGATTGGTTCGACGAAGGAGAGAAGGAATGTAAAGATGACGAGCAGTTCGATGAATCGGATGGAACCTGTGGCGGTCTGTAATTTGCCGTGTGCACCTGTTAATTCGGAATTAATTAGACGGTGGCCAGGTGAAAGGGGTGAGAAGGAACCCTTTGGTAACAACGGGTAAGAATATATAGAATGACCCAAAATTAAAGGTAACGCGGTACTCGACTAATTTTCACATTTGTTGTTCTTGGATTTCACAAAATCTCTTTGAGAAAAATCGTAGGAGGGTAGAGAAGGAAAAGGAAGAAGGGAAGAGCGTTTCAATCCGGGTCTGCTAGTGGACTCATCAAGTAAGGCTTTCTAGTAGGCTCTGTCTTAGATGACTGAATATTGGGAAGTCGGTTGAGGAGTGGTCGGTCGAGCGCTTGTGAGAGCACGACGCCTCTGGTGGCGAGCATGAGAGGTGACGCCACACTCCCTAACTCCATTGGTACCACTAACTTTGGGTCACTAATGTCCACACATACAGGCATACGAGGATAAAATAAAACGTCAGGCGATATACGAAGACGATGTTCCATCCAAACAATCGAATTAGCTGTAAGATTTGTTACCTGTGGAGAACCGATTGGGTTGCAAGGAGAAATCTGCCATTCCGTTGGCGGTTCTGGTAAATTGAAATTGTCCTCCGAGTCGTTCTGCGCTGGTTGGAAAGCGCCGCGGTTGATGATCATTAACAACGTATCCTCGCTTGGATCTCTCAGACTTGCAAGCTGAAACACACGTTCCGATGAATAACCAAGATACGAAAACTCTGTATAGCGTACTATATCTGTATTTTCAAAGTCTGATTTCATCTTCTTACCACTTTGCGTCATTGTGGTTTTAATGTGATTGCAATGTTGCTAGCCAAACTGTTATTTATAGAAGTAGGTCAGTAAAATGTAAATGGAACTTTTTTTTCCTATTGTTAAAACAATGAGCATTTGGGATCTGAGAAATTTTTAAAAGATGACGAGGTCTTTCGATAAGAGCGATAATACTTCGAAATAAAATGAAACCCACAGAAGATAATCGATGATGATTTATTTTGATTCACGTTCGATGATATAATACATGAAATATGTACGTAAAATTTACACAGTAAACTTTCAACTTCGTATGACTCTATCACATAAATTAGATTGTATCTCATCAATAAACATCGAACGAGATTTGTTTTCAGACCGTAAACAGTTTATGTTTGTTGGAATGAAACTTAACGCATTCCGGTAGGATAAAAATCTGATGTTGCCAATTCCCAAGATATTGGCGATCAATCGAAAGCTGCATTTCTCGAAGTAATCTTATCGTTGAACTTCGATCTCTATGAAATAACAATTTCAGCGGAAGAATGGCATATGAGACCGTCTTGTAGAAACCACATCTCAGATAAATCAGATTCGCGCAATTGACGACAAAGGAAAGATGAAGCCATTGATAGCAATGTTTACTAGTAACAGTTATAGTCTCCTCGTTTTGAAAGAAATAAAGGTTCATGACTTCACCAGTCCAAAAACCACACCACACAGTAACTTTTGTCACTCGACTATTGACTGAGGATCGTTATCTTCCCAAATTTGACAATTTTGTTATCGCCAAGGCTTCGATTCTTGAGTTAAAGACCTCCAAGCGAATAACAAATATGGCGGCTACGGCACCTGGAAGTTCTAACGCTCCTATTGGAAAACCTTATTGTACATTTACAGGATATTCAGGATATTATTATCCAACGAAATTCCATAAGCAAGAAATGTTAGCCAAGTTTTGCAATGTTTTATAACCAACACGACAGCGTATATTAATCATCAAAACTTACGTCTGTCTCCGACGCGTGTCGATCCCTTCCGTTCCAAGAGTTTATTACGTTCCTCGTGGCGTTTTGCAGCTGATCGAGACGCGAGATCAATTCCTTGTTGTTGTTGTACAACGTGTAGTCGCTCACAGAGACTTGGTTCGTTTTCCAAGAATGGACCAGTCCGTCGGGTGGCAAATAGGGTTGATTGCGTGGGGTCGAAATGAATTGTGGTTTCATCGGTCCCCGTTCGACGAGACGACCGCAATGGCCGCTGTCGTCTTCGTCCTTGTCCTCGTCCTCGCTGTCGTCCTCGCTCGAGATCGAGATCGCGGGTCCATCGAAATTCGGTCGATCGGTCGTTTCACGCGTCTCTCGATCGACCACGGGCTCGCATTTACCAGTTTCTCGATCGTGCGTGAGTCGAAGGCTCCCGATCTGCTCGATTATACCCTCGAAATCGTTCGAAAGGCGAACGACGAGCGGATCGTTCGACGCGTATACGGGCATGGCTTTCTTCTCGAGGCGAGGGAGATGTATCGAGGTGGACTTCGCCATTTTCGACGAATCCTCACGATGGCCCTTGCTGGAGGGCGCGTCGTCCTCCACCATCGACACCTGTCGACCTTATACCGTCTTGTACGAATTCACCTGTGGGAAGAAAGTTACCACAATCTATCATTTATCTTAATCACAACCTTGTAATAATTTTATTTAGTTATTTACGGGTTTATACACCCTAAAAATCTCGTTAATTGCGTATGTTATAGGACGCAGTGCGTACAACACTAGTGATACGCTTTTTAAATACAAAGAACCGTTAAAGAAGTCCAGACACTGGCTAAACTGGTTGAACAAAATCAATACAATTATTGTATGTATAATGTCGTTTAAATGTTGGAATATGGAATAATTCCATATATCGTATCTTTTAACTACGTATAGAATCGAACCGTGTAATTTCAAAATTGGCTACGACTTACCTGACTTTACTATGAAACGATTAGAGATAAAGTCGAATCAAGAAACAAAGTTTTAAATATTTCTAAAGAAAATAGTGTTATAAGTTTGTTTGCGTCAGTGACCTAATAAACGTGCTTCGACACAAGATAGACGATCGGTCTTTATCAACAAATTCGTCTTTTTTTCCCCCTACGCTGCTTGAGAATCGCTTCGTATTTGCTGATACAGGTAACATGGGGATTATTCCGTGCCTAATGATATGGCCTAGATGCCGCGCGCGGAAAATTCCGCTTCTTCATGCAAACGGGTTAATGCGATGCTTTGAATTAGAAAACTACCATAGATTGGATAAACTTTGGCCCCTGAACGAGTTCGTGCAACTTGTACCGTAGTGAAATAAGTTCTTTTACAAGCCTATCGTTCTCTTTAACCGACTCTTGGTATTATAATTTTTTTTAGTTTTATTTTTATTACGCTGTTCGCACAGTATTTTTTTTTATATCTTCGGAGTGGAAATATTTTCTACAGGGACACCTTACAAGCTTATTTGTTTACTCTATGAGTTCATCGATGGATTTGGTCAGCGAATTTACGACCTGCATTACGACCTTCTAACGCATACAAAAATATTACAATAAATTATTCTCTACATATATAAGGTGAAAAACCCTGGGGGAAATTTTAATGGGGGATTCTAGAGGCCAAAATAAGACGAAAATCAAGAATGCCAATTTCTTGATGGAGGCTTTGTTAAAAAGTTATTAACGTTTAAAGTTCCGCCCGAATTGAATTTTTTTCTCGAAAATGCGCAGGATTTCAGGGATATGTCTATTCACCAAAAATGATTGTAATTGACCCCCGCAACCGAAAATAATTTTTCTAGAACGATTTGAAATTTTTTTTTCCGTCGAAAAATTTCACAGCTACTTGAATTTTTTTCTACAAAGCGGGTAGGATTTCGAGGGTATGACTATTCACCAGAAATGCTTGTAATTGACCCCTGTAACTAAATATAATTTTTTTAGTATGATTTGAAATTTTTTAATTTCGTCTAAAAGTTTCAGTAACTCGAATTTTTTTCTCGAAAGTGGGTAGGATTTCGAGGGTGTGTATAATGACCAAAAATGATTGTAATTGACCCCCACAGCCGAAAATAATTTTTCCAGAGCGATTTGAAATTTTTGAATTTAATTGTTAATAACTTTTCAACGAAGCCTCCATAAACAAATTGGTATTCTTGATTTTCGTCTTATACAGTGTATTAACTGTATATACAGTTCATTTTGCAATCATACGCCAATAAGAAAGCATCGGTCACCTCTATACACGTGTTGCATTAATTTGTTGAAAAACAACCAAAAAAAGCAAGTAACGAGCTTAATTGTAACAAACTTATAGTTGCAACTGCATTGGAACTTGCAAGCGAGTTGTGCAAATGGAATTGTTTTTATTTCTTTGCAACATCGATGTATCGAGATCCGACTGTAAATTGCGCGATTGTACGCCTATTGACGTGACTAGCCTCGATAAATGTTGCAAACAGAGTTTCCGTTTAAATCGTTTCGTGCAATATTTTAAACAGAGAAACGAAACAAAAGCCGTTGCGTTTGATTTAAAACAATTAAACGGATATTATAATATTTTGAAGGATGTTCTATCCTCTTTGAGATAAAAACTTATGTGTTCGAGACAAACGGTGACTTTAAACTGCTACAAGTGTGTCGTGAAGAGTCGATGATCTATGTATTAGTAGGAACAGATGTTATTTACATTTTCATCACGAACGTATTACAATCGTCACTTGTAAATACAAATATTACAATGAAAAAGACTAGACGTTCCCATACGATTCTTCTCTATTCTGGTCACAACAATGTAGGAGATTTCTATTGACTATTTGTACCGCGCTATAGTTTTATGAATGTGCAAAAGGTAGAAATGTGCAAAAGGGTTGAAAGTGTTCATAAAGGAATGAGTAACCAGGCACAGCGAGACAAGAAGTATAAAAAGAGTGATCATGAAAGCCAGACGTGATTCTAATTTGCGTTGCCAAGTATTAATTTCTGTAAAAAGTTTGCGTGTGTCAAATTCGGTTATGTAATAATAATCTTTATATGTACGTTCAATTCATTTTCCTCAAGTAAATTCCCTTCGTTAAATCGTACAGTAATATCCCCGAAGGAAAGCGTTTACTATTCGATTACTCTAAATTGCGGAGACAGCGTCGTGATACCGCAGTAGCGAATTATCGCAAAGTCGAAGGACGCGCTGATGATAGGGGAGAGAGCTTGTATAACGCCCGGGCAATGTGTAACTGTGTTCCTGTTTCTCTACGCGTAATCCGTTAGGCGTTCACAGCTGTTGTCAACGTTTCCAACTTCTGATAACCTCGCTGAAAGCATTCGGAGAAACCTCCTGTTGTTCACGTAATCGCCCCGTTCGAAGTGCATTAATTGTTTTGACCCGACCGTCCCGTTTGCTGCACCACGGAGAGCGGCGGGATGAGGCAACGGCGCGCGTCACGCGCGCTATCAATCATTTCGTTTGCAACCGGTTGCACGGTTCGACTTTAATTCGCTGGCCGACAGAGAACCGAAAGCTACACCTGTCGCCGACACTCGCTCGGAAGATGATAGTCTGGTTCACGCGTCGTTGCCTCTTCATCTTCGCGCGTTTAGCCATCAGCCATTAGCGTTTGGCAGCCGAGGAGGAAGTTTCTAAAGCGGTCTACGGGCTAAACAGCCACGGCGAACGAAAGCAAGTGGATGCTAATACGAGTAACGGATCTAAGCTGCGATAGGTGCCGAGGAAGAATGCATTCAAGGAGAATACATTTGATACAAATCTCAAATGGAGACTATGGGAGAATATGTTAAGCCAAAAAGACTGGAATGCACTTACAATGGGATCTTACAGTCGTGGAAATTGCTTCTGAAACGATAGCAGGCCTTCGTTTTCGAGATATTTTTAAAGTTGACATATAGTGCTATTTTACTACTGTACTTGCGACTGTTAGAAGGTAAGGTCTCTTTGTTAATAGCGTAACGACACCTCTCGCGCTCGTCAGTAGAGGGCTACACTCAACTTTTCTCTCTCGCAAGCACTCGACCGACCGTCGATTCCTATACATATTTACCCTCCTGGACTGATCAATAAATGTCCCAGCGTCTAAGGCAGGGCCTATTAGAGCTGTCTGCTAAGTTTATATTAAAAATTGAAATGCCACTGGAGAACCTCGGTTCGAATGAAGATTTTTTGTAGATCACGCTAGGTTAAAACAAAAATTGCCTTTGAGGGTTAGGTGAAGAACTCTGGTTCAAATTAAAACTCCCCTCAAGGGTTGTGTGTTGTTCCACTTTATTCAAATTAAGAATGCCTCTAGGCGCTTCACCTCTCGCCTCGAACGAGTCTCGTCTATTCCACCACACATGCATGGACCATAACACACGGAATCATTTGATGTCGTTGCCTCTCGGAGAAATTCTCCTGAACTGCCTAACCAATACTTGTTACGCAAGAAAGGAAAACCAAAATAGTCAAATTGGTATAAACGTTGGTAACGACCGAAAAAGGCGAATAGAAGTTCATGGTGTAGGGTTTCCATGCTGCTATAAATATGTGTTAAGTTGCCACTCTTATGGAAATACAAACATGGAAATGTTTGAGGAAAAGTAGTGTTTGTTATGTGTTTATTCGGTATATTATTCGGTCTCATGAACATGTATGCGCCACAAGGCGCGAAATCAGAGGATGCCTAATATTTATTCAGCAGCTTTTCAAATACAAACACATTTATTATACTTTAATCGCATTTAATATAAGGGTTATTTTAGTTCCATGCACGTTCTTCGATCGTACGGTAACCAGTTACGACGTCATTGTTTCCGCCAGAAATTAGTTATGCTTTGTGTATTATTGGACAGCCAGAAGAAAGCTTTTGTCCGGTACGCTCGGTTTAAATGACCGTGCATTCGAGACAGTATTCTCGGCAGTGGTAGAAACGGTTCCGAAAATAACTGTTTTCAAACTGTTACATATTGGTTACGAATGAATATATTTATGAGAGCCGAAAAAAATACTGATTCCAAAAATTCCGAATTCCGATCGTTTCGGTTTAAACGACGCGCCGCGTTTCGGGCGAACCAAATTAACGGAGATAATTTTCTCGGGCGACAGTCGCCACAAATCGTTGAATCAACTCTCAACCATTCTCGAAATGAGTGGTTAGATGCGATGAAAAATATTTCATACAAAGGATGTAACTCAGACATGACTTGAACTTATCCCACGGAAAGATTTGCATCCGAAAAAGCTGATGTTTTGTGTATATTGGGGCACGAATTTTTGCCACCAAACTGGATTAATTCAGAAGTTTACAGCTGCAACGGGAAAACAAATGTTTCGCAATAAATCGTGTATATCTCGTCGTGCTCCATCAGGACTTAAATGAGAAAATATGGAGGATATCATCTCATTTTGTCGTTACTAAATTATACCACAAAAATTGAACGAAGTTGGTAACGGATACCAACGAAACAAATCACTTTGTATGAAAACAATACAGTCGAATTTATCTAGACTGAGAGCGTTCAAACTTTCCATCCGATCCAATAATTTATCATCGCGAATGGTGTCTATAGTACCATACGACCCGGTAGAACGTGTTTTCTGAGAACGGCGGAGTGCAAGTGACCCGCCGGTGCACGGTGAAAGTTCACGAAACAAGTTCATCACGGTGAAAGCGTTGATTGGAGGATACGTGTCGGTTTTCGGGTGCAGTTGACGGGTAGGGTGAGCGATGGAATCGCACAGCAGCGTACATTCGCTCGTACACACGCGCACTGATGTTCGTGCGCCATCGCGAACGCGCAAACGTGCTACACGCGACACGCCTGAAACGCATATTGGTCGGCGGTACGTTCGACGGATTTCGGCACCGGTTGATTCATCGATGTAGAAATAGAAACGTAAGCTTACCTCCTCGAAGACAGTAACGCGGATCCGCCTTTACGTCCGTCACTCTACTCGAAGTCTGTGGTGGTTGTGTTTCACGAACACGATCTTTCGTCCCGAAACCGACGTACCCATCGATCGCGCAAGAAATCGAACCACGCTCGACTAGTCGCTCACTCGATCCGCCGGGCAATTACGATTCCAGTTAGACCGAGCGATAGTGGCTGCGCATGCGCGGTCCCCCGATGACGTCGGCGCCTCCGCGATGTCCGCCATTTGCATACGGCGGCGCGCGTGGAGTCGATCGCCGCGCGGCGAACTCGCGACCGTGCACGGTAATAAAAAAAGAGAAAAAAATCGTCGTTGGTTTTTTTACCTTACCGTGCTGGTCGCGAAATTCAATCTTCGCCGGGCTCTCGCAACGCCCCCTCCCGCTCCTCCATCTCAATCCGCCGCGGTCCGCCACTTCAGCCTCTTCTTTCCAGTGTTCTCGAGCCTTAATTGCAAGTGTATCTCGAGCAACGACGATACACGGGCGAAGAGTGTTGTGGTCGCGTGCCGCCGCCGGTAACCGAACGCGAAGCAGGTCGAGGATGGGAGCAGCGTCGCCAGGGACGATATCGTCGACGAAACCGGGGGTTATCGATAGCCTCGCGGGGCGGGACGAAAGATTTGTCACAAAACTTGCAATCTGTTTATTTTTTCCGTACAAATCTGCCGTGTTTATGTTTCTGAGATACCGCAATGGTATTTCTGATCGAACCCAACAATTCCTCGGGTTCGATTCAGAAGATATTGAATCTGATTTTGATTGGAAAAATTGAAATCAGATGAACGAGGTGGCTGAGGGTGGAATTTTTCTCTGTACGTTTGCGATAAATATCTCGTTACGATCCGAGAGCTATGACCCGGCGCCTCGTGTTATTGAGAACACTTTATAATGCATCTTACTAGTGGCAGAAGACTGTTTAGACAGGAAAGCTACGATAAAGTTAAAAAAACGCTGATATCAAACGCTCTTTAACGTGTCAAAGGAGAAAAAATACGAGTAGATAAGACACGAGTTCAGAATCCCACGTCGCATGCTTTATTAATCGTGTGTGCGATGTTTCCCATTGTTGCAAGAAAAAAAAAAATAATATCTCTTAAGTATTGGGTTTTTCATGACCTTACCTAATACCTGTTACGCAAAAAATAATCCAAGGAATCGATGCATGAAACGAAGTCGGACGATTCTATTAAAAGAAAATGAATGAAAAGAATTACATCATAGAATAACAGAGAACATTGTTTCTACGATACATTGACTTTAATGCATGTCACAGTAACAGAGAAAATATACTAAGTTTCTTTATGTTCAATAATTGATATTCATACGTTTTCGTTTAAATACATTAACACATTCGACCTCATTTGGATGTATCTTTATTACGTTGACAAGCGTAATAACTGTTTACTTTATCTGTTTCTATTTACAGCAAGTATATTTGTTTTGGAAATATTTGCTTTCGACACATCGCATAGATTACGTAATGTAATCGTTCGTTTTAAGACCAGAAATTGTAAACGTTAGTTATTGGATCGAAGGTTGGTAGAGAACTCGTTCTCCTAACTGCTCGAACTTAAATGGGCTGTTTGAGGAGAGCAGCGAATATCAGGAGAGTGAGAGGGATATCGGGAATGAACGAGATAGAACAACTGTACTTTAAACTTGGAAACGATACCAAATATTGGCGAACAAATATTAATACGATAAAAAATTTTTGTAATCGTTAAATCTTTACGAGAGTAATATCAATGGATTGTGGAGTTTCTACCGATGAAAATGAGTCTAAACACGACCATATTCGGACCACATTTTATTACAGTTGGCTTGAACCATTTTCAAGTGTGTACAATGGAAAAATAGTCTAAACAAGGTCGTGATAGTACTTTTGTGAAAAAAGATAAAAATTTCTCATAAAAAACACGTGTGCTGCGAGGAAACATAAACAGTAGTATGGATGATTCAGATTCTCGTATTCCATGCTGCATTTTTATTGCGTGTTCGTCATTTTGTCAGTCGTATAAACATGGACAAGAAAAAGTATATTAACCGTTCCTTTCGTATAAAAGTTTATCTGTTTTGGTACGCAAGAAAAAAAATATCCAATTTTCTGCCAATAAAAATTTCTACACGCCCCCCGATCCCCAAGATTCACGCTCCCATTTCTAGAAAATATTGATCCAGAGGAAACGACGAATGAGGTCGGCGAAGAAAAGAATTGAAAAAATACCTATGATGTTGTCCTTTTATTTTTAACAATCTTGATATTCGGTGGTCGACGATCAACTTTGTTGAACTTACGAAACACGCGCGAGAGCATACTCGTTTCGCAGGTACGATTAGGTCATGCTGAACGTAAGTTTGTCGGCGACGTACGAAAAGAATCCAACCCTGCAAAGGACCCACATCGTCGCCGTCGCTAGGCACACATTGAATATCCTGTCGATCCACTCCATCCTGTAACATTATTGTCCCAAAAATCGTTTACGAAACGTTTGGAATGCAAGGTCGCCCTTCCGCGAATCAATCGTCGTTGTCGACGTATGGAAATTCTAAAATTATTATGGAACGTGACTAAAAATATCAAACAGGTTGAGGAGACGTTTGCTACATTATGGCACTTCGATTATTATGGTTATTAGTCCCGGGTTTCCCTCTCACGATCGAGCGTCACGCGGCCGTTTATCGCGTATCGTTCGTCCCAAAATCGTATCAAGGTTTCGTAGTAAATAATTTATTATTTAATAATAAATTATGTCTTCATGTAATTACAAATCCTTAAGAAATTAAAATAATTGAATTTAATAAAGGAATATCATAAGGATTAAATATTAAAATATTTTTAGGGGCTTGAGGCCCCTCCAAATAATATTTTTAAAATGAAAAAGAAAAATTTAGCTATAAAAATGTCTTTATGATTCTTTTACTCTTCGATCTATAAGAAATCGTTATTATTACTGTTATTGTTGACCTTCGACCTCGTTCATTAATCAATTAATGTTTAATGATCAGCGATCATGAGTCATAGCACGATGATGCATCGATCGTGGTCTCTATCGATCAGGTTACGTTTTGCCTAATTCTGCGCCGCACTATAGTCCCTGGAGACCGTAGTTTGACTCGACCCTGCGTCCACCCCCCACCGTTCGCGAAGAAAAATAGAAATTCACTCGCTATCGAGCTGCCAAGCGTTCAAGTTGTTCTAAGCGATTCGTAAACATCGAGAAGAAAGGAAAACCAACGGAAGGAGAGAGGAACGAATCAAGGGCACGTTATTGCGTTTGATGGAAAAGAGGAGAAGGAAGGAGGCCGACTGGCTACGTACGATCGATCAAACGAACTGCTTGCAGAATATGTGCCCCGAGGTAAGAGGAAATGCCGTAGTTTCATAGTAATTCCGTGCATTTCGCGTAAAAGGAACGTTTTCCATTTTCAGTCGCCATTATATCGAATGTTTATGTCGCGATATGTCATATTGTCGCGCGATCGTAGTCGAGACTAATTTTTACTCGAGTAACAAATCACCGGTAGAATTCAATTATAGTTACAAAATGGCTGCACGACTTTTTATCTACAATTAACAAAAGCTCTTACCACTATAGGAAAGTTAAAATAAAAACTTCTTAAAAAGAAAGAGATCTTAAACTGATTTGATAAATTTTAACAAAAATATGCATTTAAAAATTTTGAGACCTTGATGAAATAAGTTTTTCCAAAAATTTAATCACTGACAATGAGTTTTAATTCCATGTGTATGTACCTAGCTCTAACAATGCTGGCCATAATGTAATGGACAAAATCCTTTCGATCGATAGAATACTCTAAATGCGAGTCACGTATATTGTGCATCGTATGACCGAGTATGAATGGTAAGTATTTGGAACAGAGTGGACGAGATCGAGTAAATAGTTTATACAGGGATCAGTGATGCGAGCGGTATCGAATTAATCCTATAAATGCCAGCTCGTAAATTATGATTCCGTGTTGGACACTGTCGAACGTAATCGGTAACAATTTGATTCGTCTACGAAAATACCGATACGCGTTTTAAAAAAAAATCTGATATTGAATATGTTAAATTTGCTGGGTAATAGTTTGTGACAGAAAGAGAAGATTAGTAAAGAATAAAGCTGGTAATTTTTGATAATCGAAACTTCGAGTGACCATCAAAAGCGAGCAAAATACTGTTAGGTAACATATTCGTCTAGAATTCAGTAGTTCTCTGTGTTTTTTTTTAATTATGAAATAGTGGAAAAACCGTGATTCGACGTTTACGAACTTCAACGAGAAAATGTGACGAAATTCTGCATTATTCTGGAGGATGATTCGAATACCTGTGATGAAATAGAATTTTTCCTTTTATTTCGAAAACTGCGTTAACTGTTGAACGTAAACACACCTGCCAACGCCACGTGACTTTTCCTCTTATCGCTACTATTTATTTGATTCATAACATTCTTTAATTTAATCGCCAAAGACAAGCCAGTGGAAACGTAGAAGCAAATATAATTGGCGATAATTTAATCAAACCTGTTTTCCTTCGCGAGGACAGCTCAATTGTATGTGTGTGCCCCATTCAATGCTGTACGCTTGTTTGTGGTTTGTGCGTGACGGTGCACCACCGCATTTCAGTCGAGATACCGAACGATTCTTGAACTAATAATTTTCCAAGAAACGCGAAGTTGAGCAGAACCTAACGCCTACTCAGCTTGTTTCTTAGATTTAAATCCACTGATTGTTCATTTCTGCGTATAGTTTTAAGGGGGAAATACCTAGCGTTGTGGGTAGTGACGTACTCGGTCAAGTGCTTGAACGTTCAAGTAATTATCCAAGAAAACTCGATTATTCTTACTTAATTATAATATTACCTGTTGTAATGGCGTTTGAGGGCTTCCAATCTCGACAGGTCTTCGTGCAGAAGGTACCGTTTCGCTCCAATCAACGCGTCCCTAATCGAGAAAAATGTTGGACGATGAGAAAGAAATATTAAGAAACAGTACTCGTGGATGTAATTATTTTGATCCCTATAGAACCAGGACAATTTAAATGAAAGAAGCTTGTCTTTTGCACCAGGAGTTGACAAGCTACCAAATAAACGAGGGACATTCTTCAGACTGAGTAATTCTGTTATCTCTTAAAAGAGAAGCAAAGACGCAATAATTAAGAAGCTCTCGGGCTCGCGAGATTCTACTCACTGGAAGAATCGTTCAATGTCGAAATGACTATAGTCGTATCCGAAGATCGACTTCTCGCTCGGTGGGACGTCCTTCGTTAAACTGTTCAACATCTTGGCGTTGCGGAAGATCCATTCGTTGTGCAAGAAATGGCCCAGTTGAACCACAGTCAAGTAGATTTTCTCCTGAATCCCGAGCAGTCTGGTAGCGGGACACATTGAATTAGGCAAACAGGAACAACGAACAAAAATTGTGTCCGCTTACATCGGTTTTCGGCCCGTCAGTTTCAGAACCCCGTCTATGAGCATAGCTGGCAAGATGTGAAAGAGCAACGTCAGCAGGTAATAAAGGACACGATTGTTTGTCAAAAGGGTCCGCGGATACCAGATGATTCCATCGAGCGGTAGTTTTCTGTTGATCCTCATACCCATTGCGACCAGTTCTTTATTGACGATTCGACGAATATCGTGGGACGTGCAGTTGTAAACGTGGACTGTGGGATCCTTGGTTATCCTAAAAATATTTCAAATCATCGAGACTGTCGGTATCGATTGGTAATAAGTACAGCAACACCTTGTTAAAACGTCCCGAATCGTCTTCGCTATTTTTATTGTCAAGGTTTCCGACTTGGAGAAATGCTAGACCAAAAACTAAGATCGTCGTTTACGTTTGGGGGTGAGATTGTGGCGGTACCTTTCGTACTCGCCACCAGAGGGCTACGCTCTTGTCTCTCTCGCAAGCGCTTGATCTTTCAACAGTAATTGACCCATCAACTTCGCGTTCCTACCTCGTTAAAACGCATCGATCGAACGTTTTACCAAGGTGTTACCGTATGCTTTCGAAATCGTACGTTTCTACTCCTCGTTTCCACGCGACCGTAATCATGGACTTGATGGTGACATCGACGGGGAGATAATCACTGGCAGAGTACGGATTTATGAAAACCACTCGCAGTATTCCCTTTCCACCGCCTATCAGCATTCCTACCGGGCCGTTGAAATTGTCTATCCAGCCGATTATCGGTTCTTGGATCGTCGATATCACTGGCCAACGCAACAACGATCCTTTCTATACACAGTTTCCGACCAAGGCGAACGCGACGGTATAATAAGAATATAGCTGCTTTACCTATCGACGGCCGGAAAATCACCGACGGCAGAGATTTCCCATAATCGCTGATCACGTCCTCCGCCACTCGTTTGCTGAACGTGTACGTGTTCGGCATCGAACCCAAATACCTGCCAGAAATCGGTCCAATGTGAATCTTGCTCGTGGTACGAGAGTTTTCAATAAAAGCGATAGAACTTTTGTCACGGCAGCCATGTTTGTTGGTCCCTTGTTCGATAGATACTGCTTTACTTTAGATCGCCATTTAAATGATATTTCGTTGATACAATGCAACATTCTATTGTTCTTATTGGAAAATTCGTTATCTTTAGCAATTTAAACAAGGTTTCAACGTTTCAAGTTTTCAATAATTACTCTAATTTGGAAAAATAGACGTGAAAAAAATGGCTACCGGAAGGGTCACTTGGAACTTCATCCTAAAGTTTTATCACTCTTATTTTCGATTTACTCGAACAAATGACCGCAAAGAGAGAAGGATCTCACTTGGGTGAAATGATTTTTATTGTCTTCTCGTCCATGTTCTCGGCTATCTTAATGACGCTCCTCCAGTCGGTGATCGGAGGGTAAACTATCTCATCCACGACAGGCTTGTCGCATTGGGCGAACGCCGAGCTAACGTGCACCAAGGCCTTTTAAGAAACGTCGATCGTGTTCAATGGCTGATTTAAAGAAGACGATAGCCGCTAGATAGTGGTAACGTGTTCTACTTGCCACCAAGTTCTTCATCCCACCCGCCAGAATGCAAACGTCCCTCGTCGAGCGGGTGTTCGCGAATACGTCCTTCTTCAGATTCGCGTCGAACCTGACGTTTGCAGCCACGTGAAAGATCACCGAAACTCGTTCGGTGAGCAATCGTCTCTCGGGCGTACCTAATCCCAATCCCTCGACCGTTGCATCGCCGCCTACAGGAATTAGCTTCTCGAAGGTGGACGGTTTCTCTTCCCGCAACTTGTCGAACAGCTGCACAAACGAATTGTTATGCGTGTTTCGTCACAGAGCGCAACGATTCTTCGTACAATAATTTGCACAACCATCGACGACACGACGACGCGAATGATGATTGTATCTGGGATTGTTGGGCAACTTGTATCACGCCGCCATGTTGAATAAAATTAAGTTCGCGTTTGTGAAGTCGTTACTTTTGTTACGAAAGCTGTTATCTTCACTTCTCTTTGATTGCTATTCTTGATAGTCGTTTTTAAGCTCAAAAGGATCGAAATGTTACTACCATTGAACGTTTTAGGATGCAATACTGTGTCATGAATTTACTTTGATTTTACTTACCGGGCACTGCAGCATCTGTCTCAATCTGTCGTCGATGCCCACTCCATTTTTTGGACGCATCAACAGGAATATTTCTCGGATCTCTGGACAGGATCTCAGAAGCTTTTCGACCAACACTTTGCCCAGGAAACCTGTGCCGCCCGTGATGAAGATGCTCCTTCCGGCGTAGAACGCGGTTATCGAGGCCCGTTCCATCGTCTTCTTATCACTGCGCGTCTAATTCCGAATAATTGTTTTGCAATCGTACTATAAACGCTGTCATTAACGTTCTATCTTTGTATGTTAAGAGGTCTCGATGCCGTTAATGAAATTACCATTATCAGCTATTCAAGTATTCTTCGGGAATTGGGAATTAAACGAATTTCAAAATGACTCACTCGAGAAACGGGAATCGAAAATTTTTGACCTCGTTTATCGTAGAGTTTGAACTAAGTTAAAATTCAACAAAAATGTTATGGTTAATAAATTCTTTGTTCGAAACACTTGTTTAAAAGAATACATCAAAATGGACGGACGTTCGAGCCAATTTTTGTTCTTCACAGAGTTATATTATAGTTTTTAGACATTGTGCCATCTTCTTTCGTTTTTAGTAACTACGAGATTTGTAATAATCAGTGTCTAGTTTCGATTCTATTTATAATAAATAAATTACTAAATTTAAAAAAAAATTTTACATATATGTATGCTATACTTACAGTTGCGGAGAAATTAAGTGGACAAGTAAGGGAAATAGGTATGAATTAAATTAAATTAAAGTAGCATATCTATTATGCAATCAATTTTATATATTATATATAATATTTGCAATTGTGTTGAAATAAATTAACCTAAACGAAAACGTTGGTTGGTTATCGAGGGATAAAAATGAGTGGACACTTGCACAAGTCTCAAATGAACTATTTGGTTGATGTGTAAGCTTTGCATAAAACAGATTATTTGTAAGGAAACGGAAGAATGTCAGTGAGTAAAGAATTTTCAAATCAAATTCTAATAAATTAGTGTGTCGAAATAAATGAATTTACTGTATAGTAGCAAAAAGGTAGTTTTTCTGAAAGTGCGGTCGACAAAGTTTAGAAGATCGTCAAATTACTCGTAAATGTTGACAAACCCCAAGAGTCTCAGGTTGCAGGAAACGGGGTCTAGATATTATAAATGCAAAAGTAAACGGCACATTAACAACATCAACACGGGGAAATGTTAACCTTTAGCTACAATGTAAATATACCAGTGTCATTTTAAACTGCAGCAATTAAAAAGGAAGCAATTTGGTACAGATTTTCGGAATAATGAGTGCAAACAAGTATATTGAAATAATAAAGGAAAATTTAGAAAAGGCAATTGTGAAAATGTCGCAGAAGAAAGAAACTAAAGAAAGCTAACAGAAAAAAACAAAATTTTTGGAGAATTCCAATATTAAAATATTGGAAACTTATGAAGCGTGTTGAATTCAAATATACGATTAGAAAAATGACAGAATAAGAACAATTGCTTTAAATATTTACGATTGGTGTTTGGAAATATTGATAAAAATTACAATGAAAGTCTGATAAACAGCATTCCACGATGTTCAAAAGCAATTATTGCAGCGAAGAGTGGTCGCACTAAATATTGATTTTATGTTTTTATATGTTTTATTGCCCGTCTACTTATTTTTGCCATTCAGAAATCAACCAAAATATTCGTTAAATATACCTTATTTCAACACAATTGTAAATATTAGTGTCGATTATACGTAAAATAATTTATGGACCATAAAGCTATATAATATATAAAACTTTGGTTAAAAATTTATACTTATTTCTTTTATAAGTGATTAATAAAAAAACTTACTGCCATCGTGTGGAATGTTTGTGGTGGCGATCCCGTACGTTGTTTCTCGACAAGATTTTGGACTTTTTCCGTTCGTTCCTTCGCGGAGACAAAAACACGAATAAACCGATCGCCGAAGCTCGCGGGAAATGACGAGGCAGAGCTAGCCCAGTAATCGTATTCCGAACGATCGGTTCAAAGATCAACACCTTGCATATGCATTTGTATATTGTTACCCAATGACAAACATATGAACAAAATGAATTCAATCGCCCAACTTTGTTATTTTTCGTACCCACCCTTTCGTGTTTCTCGACAAACGCGTTTCGACGAATAGCGTCGAGCCAGTCGCCGTGGCAGCTTCGACTGGATCGCAGTACGTGTTGACATCGAAAAGTCTCCGAAATGGATCCACGAAAAGTGACAGGCTAACCTGAAATTGAGATTTTAGTGGCCACCATCCTTCCTCCCCCCTCACCCCCAAAGTCATCCCCTTGGGAAATTCCGCTATTGTTCGAACGCCTTCAGAAAGTCCTCCATCTTCGAATAGTCGACACATTTCTCGTCTCTTCTCGAATCTCTGCAAACGATCTTCGAGCTTTGTCTTTGTTCTGGCCGGGACGACCTTATCTGTTCTGATTTTTGGTCGTCCAGGACGTCTCCATCTTGCTTAGAACGAAAACTCCGCTCGAAGGATGGACATTTGGAGCAATCGAAGATGGAGGTGTTCCACGAACGAAATTTCTCGAGAAATACAAACTTCATAATTATGAAAAAAGATGTTCATTGACATTTTCTTTTGCCCTCCTTGAAAAACATTGGGTTGGCCTGTTACTTTCGATCGAGCCAGTTCGAAAACTTTTTTACAATCCCACGAACATAGTATTCAGGTTATAGGAACCCTGAAGCGCCATTTTCATCGATTATTTGAATTGGCACGATGTCGACGACGGTGTCGATATCGACCACAGCGTCCAAACGGGGAAGTAGGAAAGCGGCGTCTTTGGCTCGTTCGATCTCGGAGCTCCCGGACGGCGAACATGATTCGAGGTTCGGCGCGTCAATCGGACGGAAACGAGAACCAGTCGAAACTATCAGCGGCGGATCCAGAAGCCTCGCTCAGGAGTGTAGAAGTACTCTTGGATCTACTTTTACACGATTTGAAGATTTATTTATTAATATTTGTATCTCCCCTTCCTTGGATCCGCCACTGTGAATCACACTAGGGCGTTTCAGACATACATGGAAATACTTAAGAAGCCCAATCTACCAGAATTAGGCATACTTCACCTTAACAATCAATAACTTTACTTTTACTTTAGTTTTTAATAATATAACGATAGTGATTATAATTCTCTAAATGACCACTAATTAAAAACATGCAGTTTTTCGACTTTACTGGTCTTTAGTATATACAATTGAATGGCTTGAATTAAAAAAAAATTTAATAAAATACTGTCAATAGCCTTTGTTCGACACTGTATGTTCATATGACGTTTTTTTACTTCTATTAATATTTCATATGTTTCTGACACACCCTGTATGTCACGGTTACCACAGGTGGATTCTACCTCTGTGATTCACCGGTTGGTAGAATGTCATTGGCGTAAAGGCTTTCGATTATTCCCAACCAATGGAAAGCCTCGAAACCTGTGACGTCGGGGCCATTTTTTAGCCTCCCAATGTACGTTTATGGCTTTTCAGGGAATCGATCGCCGAGGAGGAAGAACAGGAAGAACCGACGCGCGTCTTTTCTGAAATTTTGTACGACGAATATGAAGAAGAGAAAAGGGACGTCGACAAGTGGAAGGAACTCGTGAAACCTACGGATAGACCTCGTCGCGTTTTATCCTTGGTAGGCCATAATTCAATTTCTTTCCATTTGTACGTTCAGAGTGTTTATTTACAACACGAGAAAATATTTGTTTCCAAGCGAATTTAAGAACTTTCCTGCTTCCAGTAATCGTGTATTACATTTTACACAAATCAATTACATAAACTTTATCTTCGAAAGATTAAACGTAATCTTAGTTCCTTACGATGTTTTTTCAGCAATTAATTCGTCAGAATAATATGCGTTTTATCTGTTAATCGTACATCGTTCTCGATTACGTCTTATTTCAGCGTATAGAATCGCCTTTTGAGAGATTGCCCGTCTGTGATTTAACGCTCTGTACAGGGTGATAAAAGAAGCCTTATCGCTTCGTGGCATAACAAGTTTTCCGATTGTTTTCTCGTGATTCACGCGACGTTCGTTCGTTTCAGCTCGAAAGATGGCGAGGGTGGCAGGTTAAGTTCGCTATTGAGGAGTACATATTCTCTCGAAGAGTCATTTCATTCGTCTACGGCGTACCGCGACCCGAATTCTGTCAGAAAACAATTTGATTAGATTGGCTAGCATTGCCCACGGCTATAAATATAATTCAGAACGTCCGTGGATATTTATCTAGGCGGGTAAATGCCACGCTAACTCGTAAACGCGATTAAAACAAAATGGAAGTCGCTACGTAACAGTTTTCGATAGAAATTCAAAGTTGAACAAATTTTATTCGCGATTAACGAATAAAATATTTAGATCAGACCTTAAGAGGACATTGCTGTCTAAAACTGTCATTTTTTCGGTCTTTGAAATTTTTTTTTTAGTGGTAGGTAGGCTATTTTGTACTGAAACTTTTCAGATATGTTTATTCATCTTATACGTGTGTACGGTATTTTTTTCATAAAAAAATATTACAATTTGTGGGAGTTATAACTTCTTGTTTAATGACACTTCTGAAAAAGGTAATTCACTGACTTTCACGTTTTCAGTCGATCCGCTAATCTGGAACAGAGGGCGCTGAAGTGTCTTCATTAGGAAGGGTGTAGTTATAGCAGAAATTAGGGTGATGTCAAAATCTCGATAGATAAAGGAATGGTGGCACTTCAAGCTTCGAATTTTTATTTTTTAACCTTTCTTTTGTTTTTAACATATTAAAAAAATATAGTAAAACTCAACATTTGTTAAAATCTCTAGTTCCAGCGATAAAGGCGCGTTCGCTGAATATTCTCTCCAAATTTGAAATCGATCGGTCTGCTGGATTTTGAAATATCATGGAAGTCAGTTTAAAAAAACGCGTTTAAATAAGATGTTATAACTCCTACAATTTTTATCTAATTTTTTATCTATATTTCTAAGACTATATCCTTTAAGAAATCGATATTTTTGGCGGTTTACAGTAGAAGGCCTCCTTAAATAGAATCGATCGAACAATTTGTATACTTTTGTTAATTTTAGGAGTTCGATGATATACTTTTGCACACATATTTCTAAAGCTATGTGTGTCCTTTAAGAAAATGCAAAAAAAAAGAAATTTAATTTTTTGGCGGTTCACAGTAGAAGATTCTCTTCGAATACGGTTAATTTATGAACAAATCTAAAATTTTTATTCGTCAATCGCGAATTGTCGCACATCCCCGGCAGGTTTGCGTCGCGCGAACGCCGCAGACGATCTTGGAAACGACATCGTGTTCGATCCTCCTCGATCTCGATCGATGTAGAAAGCCGCGGAGCAGATCACGGACGCGTCACCGCGTTCCAGAGCCATGAAACGAAAGGCGCGAAAACCGTCGCCAAAGACGGAAGTCGCGTCAGTTGTCGGCGACGACGCCACTGTCGCCAGTGGCGTCGAGGATGCTAGGAACATCAGGTAAATAGTAATTTCTGGTCACTGTACCGGGGTGTCCCATTTAAGTCGAGATCTAACGTTGATTTTTAACTCAAAATTTTTCGAAAACGGCGGCTTATCTACGCCTTTGGCAAAATATGGGTATAATTATTTTTCGAGTAGAACATCTGTGCCAAATTTAATGAAAATCGGTGTTCCATGGGACGTGGTCTCCCCTTGTAAGAAGACACATGTTGTTTAGTGTTTCGAGTGGTAAGTCAAATGGCACTAATTTTTTAATGCCTGAGCGCTTTCAAGGTCATTTCAAGGTCATCGTAAACCTATATTTTTGATCTCGGTGTCATATTTTACGTAAAAAAATGCACAACATTTGTTTGAAATACTTTTTTGTAAGTTCGATATTTCTTAAGATATTTTTAAGTTTTTCTATTAAAATAACAGCGTTCTTTTCTTCTGGAATGTTTTTTATTTCATTTCAGAACAGAATGATAAAAGCTCGAAATATTTATCCTCAACTTCTAGACACTTATTAATTCGTTTAACAAAAGACTCATGAACAGATAGTAAATGTTTCGTCCTGATTCACCATAAAGAAGAATCACTTCAATCTTTTCTGCAACTGACGATACAGTATCATTACTATGACAGAGAATTCAGTTACGAGCTTATCCTGTTTCGATAGCACTTTGTCAGATACATTTACAAACACAATCATGGTAGCTATGTTCATTTCTATTGCACTCGACAGAGAGAAATATACAATAAAAACATTCTGGATCTTGAGCTATTAATAATACTCAACGATGCAAATCTACCAGACGTGGTATCAGCATAATTTGTGAAAAATGATTCACTACGTATCTTAAAAGATATTGAATTTGCGAAAAAATGGTTCAAACAAAAGTTGCGCATTATTTTACGTAAAATATGATTTGAAAATAACAAATATGGATTTATGATGAGAAAAGGGAACATGACTTTGAAATAACCTTGAAAACCTCCACGCATTAAAGAACTAGTAGCGCCATTTTACTCCCTACTCGAAACACTAAAAAACATGTCTCAGTTTTTTTTTTTCAATCACACGATTCGAGACTCTTTACAATCTCAACTTAAAATACTAATAGTATTTTGTATTTACTAAATGCGTACTGCAGGGATCGGATGATAAAGGATATGCAAGAGGAGGTCCGGTTGGAACAGTATTACGAGAAACAAAAGGCGGAATTGGAGGCTCTGGAGGCGGCGAATCGCGAAAATCAGCTGAAAAAGACACGCGAGGTGCTTGCTCAGCACTGGTCAGCGTACACGAAGAACGCTCGTATCTTGGAAGAAGCAGAAAACGTTAGGCTAAGAATTAACATTGATTTTTCAATCTTTTTCCCCTGGTTAAGACATTTCTTCGAAACATCAATGTTTCATGGAGTTGTAATTAAAACACCAAAAGAAAACTTTGTTCATGTTAATGTGCCTTTTCAACGAGCTTCGTTGGAACATAACTGCTAAACTAAGTTCAATTCCGAAAATGTTAATTTTTCAATCTGTAATTATTAGAATTTTATTTCTCCGTTTGGCGAATACTGAATCTATTTTTTATATATTTTTTTAATGAAACTGCTCCTTTTAATAGCTCTGCTTATAAGTTCTCCAATAATTTAGTAATAAGTACCTAATATTGCGTCTGTGGGAATTTTTAAAGTGATTTTCGTGGCTTTCACGGTTCTAGTTACGATTTCCAGGGTTCTTTTGAATTACAGTGGGACAGATACATGACTTGTGACGGTCTGCCAGATCCTGGATCGCTGTCTGACATGAATACGTTCTTGTTCCTTTGGACGATAGAGCACCAGACTACGACTATGGATGAAATGGCGGACAGATGTCACGTAATCACTGATGTAGGTGACGTCATTGAGAACGCACGTTTGCTTCGCGATACGCACAACTTTCACTCTTTTCCATTTTCGAAGAGGAAAATGTCGCGAATGTTTTCTCATTTCTGCGACTAAATTTTCTTGGAACGATTGGGAGGCGATTCTTTAACCTTTGACTTCCACTATAGCCATCGATTAAAATATTACCGTTGTCCAGACTCAAAAATTGATCAACACGTTTAGTTACTTTTAATTTAGTATGTGAAAGCAGCTGGACGAGTCTAAAAATTAGTAATACTTTCAAGGAACAATAAAAAAAAAAATACATATTTGATTAAACGAAGTTTTTGGTTTATGAGGTGCAAAAAACGACATTGAAAAGAAATAAAAAGGTGCTTTTATTTAGCTTTGGCATGATTCCAGTCAAACAGGATTGACTGCAACAAAAAATCAAAAAAAGTTTAAAGGTGTAACGTTTCCATTTTTGTGAAAATTATGAAAATAGCTTGTTTGGTGTTGATTTATCGAATTCATACCAAAATGTTCTACATTATATTTTTCGAAATTGTTAACAATTAAACAAAATTCGATCGCCAATATTTAATAAATGTTGGTTCAACGAGATATCTTGCACTTCGTTTCTGATAACCTAGTTTCGAGGAAAACGTGTTTAAAGTTTCGGAACGTCATTTTTTTTCTCTTTAAAGTTGTTTTTTTTTACCTCATAATGCACTAAAATAAACCATAACAACTTACGTCAATCAAATATGTACTTTTTTTCTTATTGTTCCTTCAAAGTATTGCTAATTTTTAGTCCCGTTAAACCGTCCTGCCCCCTTAAAAAGATTGATCGCGAAAATGAGGATACGCTTCCGAAGACAAATATCAACCCAGCGACGACGTTCGTTTCAGCTGTTGGCCAAGCTCGAGGGTATCATTCGTTTCTCGACGATCATCTCGAGGGAGTACGCGGCCGAATGCGAAGCGGTGAGTAACCTGGAACTCGTTACACGAGGAAATCGCCTCTCGTCGATCTTCCAATCACAGATTTACCCAATAATGCACAGCTAACTTTCCACGATTCATCACTTCAATGAAATCAACCGTTGCATACGTTATGTAATATTGCATACAACATAGTACGAAATAGATAAAACTCTAAGGAAACATATTTTTTTTACTCGCCACCAGAGGGCTACGCTCTTGTCTCTCTCGCAAGCTCTCGACCGATTCCTCAGTTACTATGCACACTATACAGAGATGACTTGTTGTCTATTGTCTACTCGTCACTTTATTCCCACCATAGAGGCCCACTCTGACTTCACGCTGCATAGTAGTAGAGTCTCCATAACCACGAGAGATATTTTTACTTTTGGTCTATTCGTGGCTAGTATTTTGAACGTACGGTTAGGCCAATGCCTCTCAGTCTTGTCCTATCCTACTCTGTTCCTATACGTTTCGTGATGGAATTGTAGTTGTGTGCGACTCAGTCAATAATGACTAGACTGCGGATCTTTATGCAAATTCATATTTTAATTAATAGAATTAATGAAATGGGAGCTTTGTAGATGATTGTCTCAACCCTTAAATATAATAATTCGTATCTTACTTTAAGTATTTCTTATATTTTTGCATGTTAAGTGCATTCTGTAGTTTCTTGAGAATTAAAATTCCCCATAAATGCATAAACATCCGCAGTCTAATAATGACAATGCGTGTGAGAGCAGGCGTCGCTATTAAGCTACGGCCAATCAGCTCCTTGCTAGTTAGCTACCTTGCTCACTCCTTGCTAGCTAGCAACCTAGCTCACTGCTTGCGAGCTAGCTACGTAGCACACTCCCAGCTAGATGGCTACCTAGCTCACTCCTTGCAACCTAGCTACCTAGCACACTCCTTGCTAGCTAGGTACCTAGCTCACTCCATGCTAGCCAGCTACCTAGCTCATTCCTTGCTAGCTGGCTACCTAGCAATCTTCTTGGCAGCTAGCTTGCTGCTCACTCCTTACTAGCCAGCTACCTATCTCACTCCTTGCCATCTAGCTACCTAGCACACTCCTCGCTAGCTAGCTACCTTGCTCACTCCTTGCTAGCTAGCAACCTAGGAATCATCTAGCAGCGTAGCCATCAAGTCTGTATAGTACACTCCTTTCATTTTCTACCCTCCTACGACCTTTCTTGACTTTCACTACTGGCGAAGTAGCGCCACAAATTCAGTAATTTTCTAAAATTTTGTCTCATATAATCATTTCAAAGCAATAATTTCTTTGCGTCTCCTTAGAGGGAGACTCGAGTTTAAAGTACAGATGATGTTGAGGTTCCAGGAAATATCGCGAATACCCCCAGTGTCACATAAGCGGGCAATACTGTACATTTTGACTGTCTCTGTTCCTAGATCGCCACAGAAATCCGAAAGAAGCTACAATTATGGATAGATCACGCGTGCTATCGACTGCTGCGCAACATCGAGGCAAACATGATCAGAGAGGACATGAAAACGACCAGATACGTGCGCGTATCGAATAAACTGGTGTGTTGCGTTTGGGCTCCGATAGCGCTACCAATCGGAATGAAACGACTGACTGAAAAGGAGAAGTGAGCGTCCAAAAATTGAAAGAGCGAATAAATGTAACTTGTTTTGATTACCAATGAATGATAATAAATAAATATCGGCGATTACGATAGACGGCCGATCGAGGTGGAATTCCCGGAGATGAAATTAACGATCAAAATGCCGGCGGACGTGGATTGTTACAGCATGGCGGTTCGAGGACTTTGGCTGGCTTACGATCATTATTCCGTCGAAACGAACTCGTGTCGCATTCCTCAGCTTCCGGAGGAACTTCACCAAGTGTGGGATCGTTCTCTCGGTGCGTTGATTTCCCTTCTATTCTGTGCAAATGTTTCGAAGAATTATAAAATAACGTTTACGAAAGTTTAGAAGCATATTTTTAGCAAATCAAGATATTCCTTTGCCAATACATTCGAAAGTAGTCGCTCGTAAAAAGATATTTTAAGGAGTTCGTGGACAAAATTTCTTTTCATTTCGTCTTTTTCATTTCAACTTTTTAAATGTATAAAATTGAAATTTTTTACGAACGTATGAATTGCAAGATTTCTCTTAATAAAATACATTTTTAATATTTTCACACCGAGCTCCGTCGAACCAGCTTCGCTGGAGACGCAATCTGAAGAAACCGGTTGGCGTGGTTGTTTTTACAGAGAAGATTTCGCGTTTGTTTGTCGAGTACGAGCATGTCTGGCTGCATGATTTCCGTAATCCAACTCAGATTGCGCGGAATGATAACCTGCTGTTGTTTTTGCATCGTGTCATCCATTGCTAAAAAAAGAATTAATTGTCTCGTACCGTTCGAAAGCTAATAACGTCGCATTTTAATTGGAACCGTGCTCCGATTTTTCCGATCGTCACCGAAGATAATTGTAATTGATCGTTCGGCTGATTGATCGGTCGATTCAAAATGTAATTGATCAATGCCCGACAATGCTATCGGTGCCTATAAGCGTTCGATCGATCAATAGACACCGTGCAATGGACATTTATAGGCGTGCGATGAACTATAGGCGTTCGACGAAAATGCACGCTTAACCCTGATCGCAATTGGGGTGTGACATGGAGTTCGAGCAACCATAAGTCACTCCAAATAATGGTAACTAGACTGTGGATGTTTCTGCAGATTTATATTTTTGCAAGAAATAGGCAAAGTTTGACAGAAATTTGTTTCGTAATTAGGAGATTCTAAAAATATTTTTTTTATTATTAAATGACCTTGAAATGCATAATATTCTTCAACCATTGATTAAGATTCTATGTAAAAAATAAAAAATATTTTTTTTATATACTTCTTTGTGTACTTAATTTTTTTAACATATTTGTCCTTATGTTGTCTACCCTTTTCGCGTTAAAATTACCTTTATAACCTTATTTTGACTATCATGTTCTAATTTTGTACACTAACGGGGCTTTCCGTTTATCGAACAAATAAATAATTTCTTACATCGAACTTATAAGACGAACCATTTGTTACACGATAAACCTAATTTAAATGAACCTAAAGGGAGCATAGGAAAAACGAGGAAAGTTCTCCACAAGCATGCAATTTAGCCTCGTTTCCAAGTTGTAGGAGCTTTCGTCCTTTTTACCAGCTTGTACGGGGTTTTTTGCTGGCCAGCGCGGTCCTCAATCGCTCTTTTATCGAATTTCGATCGATCTTCAGACCTTTTAGAATTTTCGAGAAGGGAGTACGAAGAGAAGCTCGGAATACGGGAGGAGCAGGCCGAGGGACGACGCTTACGGTTGGAGGAAAAAAAGACGATACTCGAGAGGATGGAGAACCCGCCTGTTCTGCGCAGCGCTCAAAGAAGAAAACGCGGGAAGAAGCAGAAGAGACCGCGATCGGCGAGAGGAGCCCGTCCGGAATTCGAGGAGACGCTTATGTCTTTTCTGCCCACGGAGAAGGAGTTGCTGCCATATTTGCCCACGCCCAACGAGATCATTCGACAGAGGGAAGGTGAGGGACAGAATTTCATTCTGTTTTTCTTCTCCAAGATCCATCTAATCCGTCGTTACCTCTGACTTCACGCGATGCAAATTAAATGGACAGGTAAAGGAAATGAGAATAAATTAAAAACCAAAGTAGTATAACTATTATGCACTTGAGTCTTGGGACAGAAATTTTTATGGGACATTCTAGAGGCCAAAATAAGATAAAAATCAAGAATAGTAATTTGTTGATTGAAGCTTCGTTGAAAAGTTATAGAAACATTTCCCGCCACACGGTATATTTTCAGTAAAGAATTTTTTTCTCAAAAGTCCGTAGGAATTCGGGGGTATGTATATTCACCAGAAATGATTGTAATTGACCCTTGCAACCAAAAATAATTTTTTTATAACCATTTGGAAGTTTTTAATTTTCCGAAAAATTTCTGCTACTCGAATTTTTTTCTCGAAAGTACGTCGGATTTCGGGGGTATGTGTAATGACCAAAAATGATTGTAATTGACCCTTGCAACCAAAAATAATTTTTTTATAACGATTTGGAATTTTCTAATTTTCCGAAAAATTTCTGCTACTCGAATTTTTTTCTCGAAAGTCCGTAGGAATTCGGGGGTATGTCTCTTCACCAAAAATGATTACAATTGGCCCTTACAACCGAAAATAATTTTTGCAGTATGATTTGAAATTTTTTAATTTAATGTTTTAATAACTGTTAATATATTCTTGATTTTCGTCTTATTTTAGCATTTAGAATGTCCCATTGAAATTTTTTTTAGGGTTGGCCGAACACCCTGTGTATGTAGAGAATAATTTATTGCATAATAGATATATTACTTTGATTAAATTTATTCGTATTTCCCCTACCTATGCATTTAATTTTACCTGCAACTGTGTGTATTTAAATGGGTATATATAAATAAATATGTAAATAAATGATAAATTAGAATCTTATCATCGTATTTATGAAATCAATAATCAAACCACCAAAAAGCTTAGGTGAAAGATAGTTTATGACCGAATATAACAGTTTATTCAATATGGCGTCGAGCGATATGCAAACTGAATGTAAAAGCTGCAATTCTTTTTTTAAACGGAACACTGTAATTTTAATCGTTTTATTTAACTTTTTAATGTCTGGGAAAAAATGATGTTTGTTTCGATGACAGACGAGCACAGGGAAAAGGTTCGAACGTTGTTATTCACTCGGTGCGAGAAGACGGAAGTCAATTTACGGAAATACAGAATCCTCAGGGGCGTGTTTCACGTGGATCTCATCTATCAACCGCCGCAGCCTAAGGATCTAGGGGAGGAGACCAGCTTAACGACTCGTGAGTAAAGTCTAAACCTGCTCGAAATCCCTGGACACGCCGGAAATCCCGAATATTCCAGACGGGACGAGACTGGAATGTAATCCCACGTCTTGCGAGATTCTCGAACGTAAAACGAGGATTCTGAATTGTAAATTGGGACCTTATCCGTTCCAAATCTTTCAATTTTTCCGATCCGCTCGCGTACAATCTGAGAACAATAAAGTGCTCCATTTCATTTTGCAATTCTTATTAGAAAAATCATTCCCTCCTGTAAAAACCACTTATTCTTAAGTTGTACTACGATTCCGGTCAATGATTCCTACTGCATTCGTAAAAAATTATTTATTATTAATCAGAAAATTTGCAAAAAACACATTTTTTGCAGATAGATCACTCACCACAAGTATGTTGCATTCAAAACAACTTTGTTGCACAATCTAAAGAGTACTAGATTTCTTCTTCGCTTATAAGTTCTTTCATAGACAATTGAACAAAGGATTGTTATCTGATTAACATTTCTATAAACGAATAAAATGATATAGATCCATACCTTTTAGCCTAAACTGGCAAATGCCAGGTAAAACATTTGAAAAAATAATAAAAGTTATCGATTTCAACATTTGTGCATGGAGTCAATAATTTGATAGACAAATATTTAAAAACTTGGTAGCTTTAGCGTTGATCTACGATTCTTATTTGTCGTTTATTCCAGTCGAGCTGCCCAAAGAACCGAAGTTCGTGCAATTCTCGAGGCCTTACGTTCCACCGCAGCCAGCGCCCGATTCCGAGAGGACGCCGGAAGTCATCGAAGCCGAGATAAAGGCCCTCGAAACCGCGATGGAGGCGCTCGTTCTGATTACTCTCGAGTACGGTGGACCTTATTTTTAAACCTTGAAATTTTTTGGGACCAATTGAATTTTTTTGCGCACATCGAATTTAAAAATTTTTATTATTTTTGTAATTTGTTTTTCTCCGCTTTAATTCACAGCTTTTACACAGTTTTGTATATCGTCGAATTCGTCTTTTTAGGCTTTATAGAATATAGATAAAATATATATCATTCTATTAAAAAAAAAAGAATTTAAATTTTCGAAAATTGACCTTGAAAGAAAATTGTTTCTTTGATGTTACATTTGTAAAGAATTTTTTTATATATTTACAAAGACAGCAACAATATATAGTCAACGATATAAAATCAAGAATACTAATTTCTTGATGGAGGCTTCGTTAGAAGTATTGAATTTTTTTCTATAAAGTGGGTAGGATTTCGGAGGTAGGTCTATTCACCAAAAATTATTGCAATTGATCCCCGCAACCGAAAATAATTTTTCCAGAACGATTTGAAATTTTTTAATTTTGTCGAAAAATTTCACACCTTCTCGAATTTTTTTCTACATAATGGGTACGATTTCAGGGGTATGTCTATTGACCAAAAATGGTTGTAATTAACTCCCCAACTGAAAATAATTTTTTTCAGAACGATTTGAAATTTTTTAATTTTGTCGAAAAATTTCACACCTCGAATTTTTTTCTCGAAAGTGGGTAGGATTTCGGTGGTATGTCTATTCATAAAAAATGATTGTAACTAACCCTACAAGCTAAAAATATTTTTTCCAGAACAATTTGAAATGTTTTAATTTTGTCGAAAAATTTCACAGCTCGAATTTTTTTCTCGAAAGTGGGTAGGATTTCGAGGGTATGTCTATTCACCAAAAGTGACTATAATTGACCCCCGAAGCCAAAAATATTTTTTCCAGGATGATTTGAAATTTTTGTTCACCGAAAAATTTTCCGCTCGGTATGGAACTTTAAACGTTAATAACTTTTTAACAAAACCTCAATAAACAAATTGGTATTCTTGATTTTTGTCTCATTTTAACCTCTAGAATCTCCTATTAAAATTTTTAGTTTCCATTCCCAATAAATCAGTCCTCGAACGTTCATTTCGTTTTCTATCCTGCGACTCCGTCCTTTTCTCGCAATTCCAGGTTACCAGAGACGGTTTTTTGGTTCGAGCCGCCGTTGGTCGCCCACTGGATACCGGAAAAGAATATCTGGTCGACCAGGGACGTCCACGATATCAAATACAACGAGGAGAAGCAAACGATCGCGTTCAGGAGCGGTAAATTGGGCGTCCATGGGCTGGCCGCCTACAAGTTCGCGAATCTACCGTTCCAGAGCTGGGAACTGAAACCGGAAATGGGGAAAACCGGTCGACTGAACGGCGGAGTCGTTCTGAGCGTCACGGGAGCCACGGTCCAAGCAGAGTTCATCGTCAGGGTACGTTGTTCGACCATTTTGATCAGGTTTCGAAGTTCTCAGCACTTTGGACAAGCTACAAACTTCCAAACATCTTTATATTGCACGCCAAAGTGTAAGGAATTATAAATGTAACCTCAACAAACGTGATAAGTTGAATGCACGATGAAATGGTAACTGATACGGTAGATCAAAGTCACGTATACGTGTCAACGGCCGTCAAAGTGTTAAACTCGAATACATTGTCATAACTGTAAAACTACTCTAAAATTTTCAATTTTATATATATTCTTACCATATTTGATATCAATGTTTCCTTCGAAACAGTTGAATTATATTTACTCTAAAAAAATGAACTACAGGAAACTGATTCGCTACTGCTTCATAATTATAGAACCAAGCATTCAAACGTTGTTTTCTGTTTATATTTCGTCAGTTTTGCTTTGTCGAGTGTGTTGAAAGTGTAATAATATGAATTTGGTTAATAATGCCACGTGAATGTTATTTAAGTGGGCAAGAAAAAGGGAAAATTGTAGCCTTTCACGAAAGTAATGTGACAATACGTGAGGTTGCACGTAGACTTAATCGTTCTCACAATGTTGCGATGAAAAAATGAAGTATGAAAAATCGACTAATTCTTGAAAATAAGGTAGGACCTACAAGCTACTATAGTTTTATTTTCAGCGAAATATTTGTATAAATTGTTTAATAAGAATACCCCGTTATTCCGGGTTTTATAGTTACGAAACAAGAATTAATCAGCTTACTATAATTCTTCCTTTTTCTAGTAGACACAATTTACCCTTCTTTGGCAGAATATCGTTCTTCTTAACACAATTTCAAATACGGTACCACTTTGCTTTTCATTATTTTAACAGCAACATATAACAATTGAAAATTTCAGAATGGTTTTATAGTCACGACACACAGTGTAGATGGATGAAATAAATCTTTTTAATGTATCGCAAGAAGTTCTACGAATTACTTGTATCTACATGTCTGTTCCGTGTAAGCCTATGAAATGTCGTAGAAAGCGCGAAATTAAATAATTACAGTTCTTTTTCCCCCCACAGACATCGTTAAAAATATTTGTTCTATCGTTCTAAAAGCGATCGAGAAGCGTTCAAATGGGGGTTGTTTTCTTTGGAAGGTAGACACTTTTGGGTATCGAGGTTAAGATGAATCCGTCGAGTAATTGACACAAGGGTGTGCAAAGGGTTTTTAATTTGTTGACAGAACGATCAAGTCTGTTTGAACTCGCTGGTGGGTGGCTCGTCGAAGCCGCTGGAAGGGCTGCTTAAGGAATTCATCGACCTGGAATCTTTGATCGAGGTACCTAACCGGTCCCGGACCACTTTGCTGTGGATATCGTTTCGCTTAAGGGGGTCTTCTACAGTGTCGGGTCGAAAAAATTCATTTTTTTTTTTTTAGATGAATTACATCTAAAACTCATGTAGAATACGTGGCTAAATGGATTTTTTGAGATTCGATGCCGTTCAGAAGTTGTAGGCGTAGAACGAAATAGGTGTTCGGAGCGCGCTGGTGGCGGGTGCTGTCGCGCTTTCCTCCTCAATATTATGTCATTCTTCGGGCATGTACTTGTGTTTATTATGATTTCTGCATATGAACGACCGAGTCTTTTTTCATAGCAGACGCAATTGTGACAATTGACAATTACATATGTGAACAATCACGAACTTTCTAAGTACGTTCGCTTAGTCGGCGTAGTACGCGACAATTGTTGATATTTCGAGAAACTGAAAACTCCAAAACTCCAATTCCACGAAGAATGGTTATCGAGCCACAAGGATTGTTCCATAAATCATATTGGCAGCTCTGGTAAAATGGAAATTGACGCTATTATTGAAATGTTTTCACGTTCTATGGAGAAACATGGCGTAAAGTACCTAACATACGTTGGAGACGGAGATAGCAAAACATTAAAAGGTATTTTGAATGCTAATCCGTATACAAATGAAAAACAAGTTGTGAAAAAGGAGTGCGTAGGTCATGTGGAAAAGAGGATGGCCACGAGACTTCGCAACATTAAAAAAAATCACTAGGGAATCGGTGGAAAAGGACACGGTAAACTAACTGAAAAAGTCATTGGTGAATTGACGAAATTCTATGGCTTAGCCATACGACGGCATCCTGATTCAATAGATGATATGAAGAGAGAGATTTGGGCTTCTTTTTATCACTGCAGTTCTTCTGATGATAATCCGCAGCACGATTATTGTCCGAAGGGTGAAATCAGCTGGTGCAATTGGCGTAAAGCAGGAGCTTTAGGACTCCTCAAGAATTTTAACCACTCTAGAGTTCCTTTAAAAAGTCAAGTTTTAGAAATAATTAAGCCGTTTTACGAAGACTTATCAAAAGATGATTTATTAATCAGATGCTTGGGAGCTGAGACCCAAAATAATAACGAGTCATTGAATTCCCTAATTTGGACATTCGCCCCAAAACACATTCATTCTGGGCCTAAGGTGGTTGAAATAGCTACTTCTTTGGCAGTTATCATTTTTAACGATGGATTTGAAGGAGTATTAAAAATTATGGTAACAATGGGATTGAAAATTGGCACCAATTCTTGCACATATTCTACGCACCGTGACAACGCTCACCTGTACCGCTCCGAACGAAAATCGTCTGACTTCGTCAAAAAATCTCGGATTCAAAATCGAGAAGAAAATTCACTTCTGCATGACTTCCAGGAATAAACTGAAGGTGTACTGTATGGTCCAAGCATTGCAGATTAATGGTAAGTAAAATTATCTTTGTGTCATACGTACTTGAACTTCAAACGCGTTTTTCTCGAAACGCATTTTCTTGAAGCGGCGCCCACGATATCTCAAAAAGTCTTCAACCGATTTCGCTCGTACACATCTTTCATACACCTCTAGTTTTCGTGTGAACTAGGATAATTCAAATATTTTACTAATTTCTTGTTCTTTAGCTTAAAAGGTTGAAAAAAAAATACGAAGAATTGACTTTTTTCTTAAAAGCTTTGTCAAATATTCAAATTTGAATATTTTTATTTAATTCTAGTTCACACGATAGCCATAGATCTACATATTAAAATGCTATTCGATTTTCCAATTTCAGATGAATAAAAAATCGTCAATCATGGGCGCCATCCGTCAACATTTTTTATACATGGTCATCATTCCAGTGCTATAAAGCTAATTATTGTTATTATTATGCTTTACAAAAATTTGTAAACAAAGTTCAATAATTAATACACTCGATATAAAAGTTATAACTGTGTGTGTTTCCATTATTCCTCAAAAAAAATTCCGAAAGAAAGCTGAAAAAAACAGCCTTCACAGTAGAAGACCCCCTTAACCGTGAATTCTTGCAAACGTTCGCTACTTGCAGAGAATGCAACAGGTCGGATGCGACCTCTTTCCCGAACGAGACGCCCGGAGCTATTTGAAAGGACTAGCCACCAAGCATCCGATCGCTGAGAAACACTTGCGAGAGTGTATGGCTTTGTTATCCAGAGCCTACACCTTCGCTTGGTCTCGATGGAACGCTACTCGAGACTTTTGGGAGATCGTCCTACAGTTCAAAGAGGTGCACGGTTGCGTTGCCAAAGAGGTAATCCCTTTCTTTCCTCGTAATTGCCCGGTCGGATCATCTCTTGGATGCACGACAAACTATCGTGCGCTAAAATAACGGTTGCGTGTTATTTGCTCGGGAAACGAACCATGTATTTATATTCCGCTGGCCAACTCGGGTTTCTTCTATTCCTTCATGTTGTCATATGCAGGATCGACACAATGTTGCGAAGTTCCTCGTGTCTCCCGCATCTATCAACATAAATGAATGGAAAAAAATCAAGAAAAATCCCAAGAATATCCCCAAGCGGAATACACGTGGTTTATTTCCCCAACATTATTAGAATGATATTATTACGGGCAAAAAAAACTACTCTGATGGTACAGAGGACGGGATTGCGAATATATCGAGAGGATTAAAGAGAATCTCGAAACAGAAAATATTTGCCACACGTTCTAAATTTAACGGAATAAATTTAGACAGTAGAATTTCCGTTTCTTTTTGGTCAGCGTACGAATATAACGCTGTTGGTCACCCTTTCGCAAACTATGCGGATACGTTGCACCGAGGTCAGCCCAGAGTTTTCAGACTTGCCTCTGGAGGACGAGGACACCAAGGTAAACTCTATAAATTTTTGTTTCTTTTACAATTATACTTTTTTTGTTTCTGTTCCTAGTTCTACGCGGACCTTTATCAACTGGCTATGAATACTGCCGGCATCAAGACTCGTCTCTTGATAGAACAAACGTCGTTCAAACAGATGACCACTGTCGCGCGTCTTCTCGAGCGTACCAACGTCATTTGCATGTCTTCTTAACGCGTTGGCTGTCATGATTACCAAAATCGAAAAACCCCGATAATTGTAAAATTCTAAATAATACCAATTGAAACGCTATAAAATAATAGAGTATCTCTTACTACAGTTTGAACAAATTTCAACAGCGTCGATCCGTTAGGAATTTGTATTATAAAATTAATGTAAACCGTAGACGCTTTAAAGTACGATGTAAGTTTTAAATTCGAACGAATCTGGTATAAATAGCCAGGGAATAAATTATTGACTCGATATGAAATGTTGAATAGAGCGCCAGCGGACGCCATTGTCCCCCAACGACTAAATAAAAGCTTCAAGAGAGTTTTAAGAGCATTTCTATCGGCGACACGATCATTCTTCCAGAATTCTTGTGAATTGCATCGATGCTGGGGTTTATTCAATCGTCGAGGAGCGTGACCCATTTCAGGAAATAATAACCGGAACTTTACAGTCGATGTAATTAAAATACAACGCGACAGAAGAATAATGATGTAGGAAAATTTATAATTCGAATGGCAACGAATAATATCGTGTAAATTAAACGAGCTCCTCCGAGGCAATGCAACGTTACTCCAATTTTTTCTTTTAACTGCCTCGATTCGTGGCGTAAGACGATATTGATTTCAAGGTTTATTGTTTTCTAAAGGGGGTCAACTAGTATACACTAGGCTGGACCTTAGTTATACTCAATGAAGTTATACTTGTGAATTTTTTCCATTTTTTTCGGGACACCCCTTGAAATTGTGCTGTTAGATGAAAAAATAACCTATAAAAGTTAGAAGAGGTAAATTAATTGCAAATCACATTTCATATTTTTGTGATAACTTTTTAACAAAGCATTTATGGATGTCTTGTTATGTAACATTTTAGTCTTAGTTTTTAACACTGTGTATCGTTGCTATTTGTGAATATAAAAAAAAATTTTTTCGGATAAAAGTTGAATGAAATGTAACTTCAAAGGAATAAATTTTTTTCGAGGTCAATTTTTGATCCTTCAAAGTCTTATTCTTTTTTTCAATGCAACGATACGGTATATTCTTATAGAGCACAAAAACACCGATTCAACGATATACAAAACTGTATAGAAACTGTGAATTAAAACAGAGAAAAACCTTGAAATCTTTTCATATAATGGCATAATTCTAGGGGGGTGTTACAAGAAATATTCCAAGGTTTAAAAATAATGTCCTACTATACACAGGACAGACAGTTCTTACGTTTAGTTTGCAATAATTTAACGAAAAAATCTGAAACGCCATGGATCGCTTGGGGCATCGGTTACAAGAATGGAGGGGTAACGAATTAGACACAAGGGGGGGTTTTTTCCGAAACGAAATTCCTTTTTATTCGAATACATAACGTATATCGAGCATCAAAGCGATATTCAGGAAATAATAAACGCCTCCGTTCGATCTGCACTTGAACGCAAAACGATATCACGAAGGAAAACACACAGCGATATCGAGATTACGGCTAAGCGGCAAAGAGTTTAATTGATGCGCTTCGACGGGGGTGGTGGGCGGGCTTGTGGGCACCTGGGGGAGGGGGATAACAGTAGGGGACACTACGACACGGAAACGATACGACGTTTTTAAACCCGTAGCCAGACCGACAGAGCTGGTGCGCAAGAACTGGCCGCGGACATCGCCGCCAGAAAACGCCACGCATCTCTAAAACGCCCGCGCGCTACGGTTTCTTCTCCGCGCGCTGCGCGGCTCTTTTGCTTATTTTTTGTCCGCTGTTTTTTCGTCTTTTTGTTAACATCCACGAGTACATAGGTTAGTTTAGTTGTTTGATCTGTTCTCTCGATACGATCGATTTTGTAACGTACGTGTATGCAATACGAAGCTAAAAAATATACAGTGTTGCGCGCTGCGAGGACCGGACACGCGTGAGGGACCAGCCTCGAACGATCGATCGCTGATAATTTTCTACCCCTTTCATCCCTTAGAGAAATAAAAAAAAAATTCACTTTCGTCTCCGTTTCCGTGACACTCGATAGTCGATCCTTCGAGCGCCCCCCGCGCGTGTCCAGTGAGCGAAGAATGCATCACTTTGTATCCGCTACATTCTCTAACTACGTATTTCCCTATACATATTTTCTGCCGCCTTCGTCTCCACCGTTTGATATGCGTTCCAAGCCGCCTCGGTTCCTTCCATCGCTTTTCATGGTTATCTCTTTTATATATACTTTTTTTTTCATCATTTTTTTTTTCTTTTTTTGGGTTATTTTTACTGTTTTTATTCACGAGTTTCACGGCTTTGTCTCTCAGCGGCTCTCAGGATCTATAGTCGCGCGCGCGTTCCAACGACACACTCCGAGCGTGTTCTCCCACCCTTTTTCACTCTCTCCCCCCCCCCTTCCTGCTCGCATTCCCCTCGTTCACGTTCGGATACAGCTCCGCCGAATCGGTACGCGTTTTACTTTTTTTTCATTGTTTTTGTTTTTTCTCGTTTACTTTTGTTCTGTGGTTGTTTTTTTGTTGTTGTTGTTGGTGTTGTTGTTGTTGTTCGCCGACTAAATGAAACCACGATATAGAAGAAAGAGGGCGAGAGACCGAAGATATCGACCGTTCCTCGGAGAAGATTTGCGCACATGAGATTAGATTTATCGTAGAGTTTCGAAAACGTTCGCTGTTCTTTGGTCTCACTGGACGATGCCACGTGCACGAGATTAAAAAAATAGAAAAATGATACTAACTTCTATTAGGATCGTATCTTTTTAAAATGACAAGAATATTCTCGAAAATTAAAGAAATTCTGGATAGAAATAGGCGCGTTAAAATTCAAACAATAGATTTTTTTAGTCGATCGATATTCATGATAATAATTTTGTAACGTGGACATTCGAACAAGCGTATAAATACATTTAAATTAAAAGTTATAAATTTTTACTCTAAGATCGCAAATAGACGTAAAATTGGGATATTTCACCAATTATTAATATAAGGGTAAACTATAATTTTTATAAGTATAGTTTTATAGAGAATAATTTTCCTTTCTCGAAAACGAAAAGCCACGAAGACTATCCAAAGTGTGTGAATTTATAAAAATAAGTAGAACACGTCGTTTATAATTTCTACGATGTTCTAAATATTAAAAAAATTCTTCAATTATTTCGATATTTCATAGAAATGTTCCAAAGCATGAAACAAATTAAATAACTTCACGACGATAACTACGATAATATAAAACAATATAATTCTTTCCAAGTACAGTTCCAAACAAAATTGCCACGCAAAATAGTCAAATTAAGAATGTTCAACCCTGAACTATCGAAGTGCCTTTCACAGAGCATCGAGTATCATCGCGAGGACCAAAGAACACCGATCTGGTTAAAACTCTACAACATGAAGTAGTTATTAATCGTTTCACTGGTACTGTAATACGCGATTCTACCGCGACCAGCTGAACCGGTAACTCGGATTCGGTAAAGGGATTCGATCGCTAAGCTCGTAAACGTCGAGCAACGACGACGCGTTATTATTATTTTTTTTTATTATTTTTTTTTTTTTTATTTTATTTTTTTTTTTGTATTCTTCTTCTCGCGCGTATTAAAATCCTATTAGCGCTCGCTATCGTTTATCGCAAACTCGAACTTGACTCGTAAGCCGCTTACGATTGAGGTAATCCATGGTATAAGGCCCAATTCGCATCCAGTTCGAACTAACGCGTACTGTTAGCTGTATACCCTACCTAATCTCGACGATTCGTTTGGCTCTAAAAGTTTTTTTTTTTTTGTTTTAGAATTAACGCGCGCTCACAGCGTCGCGACGGAACGCGTTGGAGCCGATAAACGTTCGCGACCGTTGTCGTTGATCTGTCGACGAGTCTGTACCGGTGATCGTCATCCACCCGGTATGCACAGACTAGAGCCTATGATGGTTTGCGTTTCGTTATTCTTAAACGTATCAATTACGTAAAATTAACCCGAAGGAAATGATACGTCGAATAAATTAGCGACTACGATCTTGCACTGTTCGTCCACAACAAGATGGCTGCCAAGCTTTTGAAATATGCTTCAAACAGAGGTTCTCACTAAAACTCTTTAAGAATAGGAATAATATAATAGTATGTTCTATGTTCTTCTTAAGAATAAAAGAAACTAGCATCGATGTCTAAATAGAAGTCTTGTAATCGAGAAATGTATTCTTCGTTGATATTCTGTTCAAGTTTTACGACATTAGGTTTCATTTACGGGTCTAAACGCTTGGTAGCCTCTTTTTTCGTGGATGGACAGTACGTGTATTGGAAAACAGTATCGACCCTCTCTTCTTGCAATCAAATATGGATCGATATATTTCACGAAGAGAGGTCTGCTCCTTATTTCACAATATATAAACGGCGTTAATTGACTGATACGATTAAATAACTGATTCGTTGTTCTGTAATAATCGATTTAAAACAATTACAAACGAAATTTCAATCTTGATGCTTCCATTTTCTTCTTCGAGCCCTCATCAGGAAATTATGAAGTTATTGTGCAACCACCAATGGCATTACCAAGACAAATATTCCGTTACCTGCTATTTATTGTAATAACTATTTAATTATAACATTTTTTAACGCAATTGACTGGAAAAATATTTACTATATTTTTTAGACCAAAAATAGGAATAAATTATTTTTATCATTTAACCAGAGAATACGGGCAAATTGTCTATTCATTGTCTAAGAAATAATTCTTATGAGTGAATACTGTTATCAATTGCAAATAGTGGGTAATATATTTGTTTAGTAATAGCAATGGATAATTGCATAACTGCTTCGTAATTTTTTCATGAGAATCTGACAAGGAATAGTCGAAATCATGAGGAAGATCAATAACTCAATAGTTATGATCGATTGTTCGTGAAAAGTGACGATTAAAGTAATAATAAATAAAAGTCAAATTAAACAAAGTTTTTATACTGCATTGATATGTTATTTAGGTTCGTTATTTATTGGTAAGAATTTAAGCAGAAATTTGTTTAACTTTGCATTAAATATACGTGAAATAAGATATGTTATCGTTTCCTCATCTATTCATATCATGTGAAACAAGGAGCAATATTTTATCCATCTATTAATATCGTCTGAAATAACTGTCGTTCGTTGAAATACGCATAATCGAAATTTCACGTGTATAGTTTGGCCCAGCGAGAGTGAGGTCTCGGGATTGCTGCGCTTGGTGGATAGGGAAACTTCAACCAAAACAATAAAATATAAACGTACAATAAACTATGTAAATATCAAAGAGCACGGAGATATAATTATACAGCCGAGTGATCTTAGCAGTTATAAATACTACGAAAACTTTATACCAATAATGTAAGAATATTGCGAAATCACTTCGTTAAGCATCAACCGAATAAAAATTGCAAATACATCGCGAGATAAAGCCCGTCGAGCGAAACAAAATATTTGTTACTGATGTACCGGTGTTTGTGTCGAGCGAAAGATTAACTATTCAATAACCGGTATATGCGATTAAAACGTAAACAACATCCGGTGTAATAATAGATCGTATGAACTTTTGAAACGGTACCACAGGTGGCGACAGAGGCGATAGGCAGCGAAAGGGTTGATATCACTTAGAAAAGCGATGAGCGGGGTGCTACCATAAGACTAAGTAGCGGGGCAGGTGTACATAACGAGGCAGCGACTTCACGATTCAGAACCGCGAACAAACGGAAGGTAGAGGGGACAAATAACTGTCTTAAATCAAACGTAAGATGCAAACTCGTACCATGTGACGTAGGTGTAGAGTAGCAGTGGGGGTAGAGGAGTACAGCGATGTAAGTTCATACGTTCAAGCACGGAATGGAAAGTGGCGGGGGATCCACAGGACTCCGCGCCGGTTCACGCATGCGCGTCTGCAACCTCAATTTCGCTCGGCCGAACAATACACGTGTAATCCGTGCACACGTGAAATAGTTGGCTCTAGCACAGAACAACTGACACGACTAAAGTCTACGTGTACACGGAGCAACGTTCAACGTCTGTCGACCATTATCGTACGTGCTCGGACGTTACTCGATAATGCACGGTACTCTTTTTAAGCTCTTTTTTTTTGTTGTTGTTGTCACGAACGCGACAATTCGTACGAGCGCGCGACGATCGAAGAAAAGCAGAGGTCCGCGCGTAGTTGTTTTTGGCACTTGATCAATAGGGGACTTTCCAAGTCGCGTATAATTGCTCGTGAACGTTCCCCTTCCCCCCTCCTCCCCCTCCCCCCTCCCCCCTCTCGCTCGTAAACGCTTCAACGCGTCCCGTTTCGACGAGTTCGCGCCAAAAATCGAAATTCACCAGTTGAAATTATTTTTTTTTTTTTTCTGCATTTCGTGTGCAACGGTATAATACACTGTCTCTACACAACATACAAACGTTAGTCTAACTGTATTTTTTTACCATTTTTTTTTTCTTGTTTGTGCTAGTCGATACTTGCGTGTACACATATGCGATGCGTGTACGTGCAGACCTGTCCGAATTTTTTGTGCGTCGCGCTGCGTACGCCCTGTCTCTGAATGTGTACGTGTTCGTGTGTGTATGGTTTGTGTACGTTGTCGTTGTGTTCGTGTGATTTAACGACGTGACATTGTTAAAACGAGTTACGCGCGCACGCGACCACGCTCGCGCGGAAATCGTTTGCAATTCGTTAGCTCGCAATAATCGTTGAATGTAAAAATATTCGTCGACTGCGGTGGTCGCGCTACCATCTTTGTCTCTTACTCTTTTTTTTTCATTTCAGTTTTTTTGTTCGCGACGTCGCGGTACACTCTTGAGGCGCGATACGCATCATCTACGCGCGTAAACCTAAAGCTACGGGGGGGTTTTTTTTTTTTTTTTGGTTTGGTTGTGTTCGACGCTCGTGATCTAGCACTGTCTCGTTCTTGTTACAAGTAACCCTTTCACGCGGCGCCGTAGTATTTCACTCTCTCTCTCTCTCTCTCTCTCTCTTTCTCTCGTTCGACATTGCACACGCAAACGCACACGCACATTCACACTCACCGAGCGCAAATACATATATGTATATGTATATATATATTTCGCGAAAATCTGCAATTGCTGCAAAAAATCTGAATCTGTCGATCATACAGGGGGATGATGATCGTTCTCTACGTATTTTTTTTTTTCTTTTATCGTCAACAACAGCAAACTATTTGGATGTGTAACTCTTAAGATTAATTCAAGGTATAACACCGATCACAATTTTCGTCGCTTCCAAAAAATCTCCGACTTTGTCGATACAAAAGTTCCGTCAAAAATATCACTGCTTTATCGTTTTCTACTAGTAAGAATTCAACATTACGTCCCGGTGTCCCGTTCCGATCGCTCGTCGAAAATTAAAACGGGCGACGCGACGCGAAGAGGATCGAGGGAACGGACGAAACAAGAAAAAAAGCGAGGGTAAAAACAGAAGAAGAGTTGGGGGCGAACTGGGTGGATGGACGGGAGTTTTGGGGTTGAGGGTAAGGGGTGGTGGGTGGAGAGGGGAGGGGAGGGGGGAACAAGGACAAACGGTGCGAGCACACGTGTCCAATCTTTGGGCATATGTGACAGACGAGAGGGTGTGGGTGGCGGTGAGGGGGCGGTGGGAGACAGAGGGGCGAAGAGTAAGTGAAACGGTGTACGTCGATCGATATCGAGGATTCGGTGGCGATACAAGAACGGAAAATGGTACCGAATTGTCGAGTCCCGGTTTTTTTTTTTCGTTTTACAGCTCTTTCTCTAACGTTTTCGACCGCATCGACCGCCGACGACCTGCTTAGTCCGCAGCGCCGATGAGAAAAAAAGAAACGTTCGGTCGAACTGGTGGCTCGAACAATCGGTGTTTCGCGACGTTTCCGTTCGATTTCAGGGGGGGGGGGGTGGGGTCGGGGTTTTGACGGATGGTTGGATGGCGCTGGAATCGAAAGACACCGGATACACGAGACATAGGAAACGCTTGATCGCGTCAACGGGTTATATTCGAAGCAACGGTATTACGTACTCGGTACGTACTTACGCGTGCAAAACAGTCATAAAAATAACGTTCGATGTAAATGTCAATAATAGTCGCGAAAGTAACATCGATCGGTCACGTTTTCGAGCGTCTTGGCCGCTCGAATGTATGTATACGCCCGCGGCACGCAATCTCGCGTGGAAAACGAGCTCTCTTGTTGTCGTTCGTGTCAGAGGTGATTTCGAATATATACGTTCGCCGTGAGTCGTTGTCGTGCACGAAGGGAAATAAGGGGAGAAAAAAACGAAACGGGAAGTATCGATGGCCGTGGCGAAATATGTAAAGCGCCACGGCCGTGGACGTGGTAACGAAGTAGCGGGGGATATTTCGTAAATACGCGAATCAAGTATGGAAATTGTATCATCGCCTTCGCCGGGGCATCGTCGACCCGGAGACCACGCGGTGTCCGTGGCGTCGTATCGTCGGAAAGCAGAGGGCGCCACGTTCGATGGCGCACGCTCGATCTTTCCGTTTTCCGCGAAACGGTTAATCTAAAAGAAAAAGAAAAGAAACGTAAAAAGAACAGGGGAGAAACAGATACGCGTTTGGTCGACGATCGCGGCTTCTTTTCACCGAGTTGGCTACGAAGCCAAAATTTAGCGAAGTCGACTCGCGACGACGACGTTTGAGAACGGTTTTCGATCGGTTTTCGCGCCGTCGGAGGACAACGAATACCAAAGTCGAGTAGGTTCGAGAGATCGGGAGGTACTGGTCTAGGTTAAGATCGACGATTTCGCTCCCGCGAAATACAGAATTATGCCGCGCACTCGAACGTTTTACTCCGGCTTGAGCCGATGCCACTGTACGATCGTCTGCCGTGGCTTCGTGATCATGTCCTGCCAATGTTTCGTTTCGCTCGCCCCGCTGCCATTTTTCCCTGAAACAGAACGAACGTCGCGAGATTATCGCGTTCGATTAGCACTGCAAAGATGGGAAACTTTTGAAACTCCAATTTAATTTAATATTTACCTAAATTCTGTGGGGGTAAAAAGTTACCCTCTCATTCCCCTTCATTGGGGGAGAAATAAGTTACAAGGGGACCTTACAGTCGTGGAAATTGCTTTTGAAATGGCAGCAGTTGCAAGTTATAGTATATACCTAGTATCGAATAACTCTGATAGGTTTCTTCACAAAAGTAACTTTACGAGGATACGAACACACTACCAATAACACTTATCGAAAACTTGTTCTGCAAAATAAATTTAAGTAATTGTTTTATTACGTGCGTAAAATGAAAATATCTTGAAAACGAAGGCCCATTGCGAAGAAACCTACTAGGGTCTTTTGATACTAGATATAGAGAGTATTCAGCCACTAATAAGACGAAAATCAAGGATACTGATTTGTTGATCGAGGCTTCGTTAAAAAGTTATAGAAACATTTCCAGCCACACGGTATATTTTTGGCAAAGAATTTTTTTCTCGGAAGTACGTAGGATTTCGAGGATATGCGCGTTCACCAAAAATGTTTGATAGTGACCCCTGCAACTAAAAATAATTTTTCCATAACGATTTAAAAGTTTTCAATTTTACCGAAAATGTTCACCTACTCGAATTTTTTTCTCCAAACTGCGTAGGATTTCGAGGGTATGTCTATTCACCAAAAATAATTGCAACTAAACCCCCTAGCTAAATATAATTTTTTTAGACCGGTTTTAAATTTTTTTTTTGACCGAAAAATTTCTTCACCTACCCGAATTTTTTTCTCGAAACTGCGTAGGATTTCGGGGGTATGTCTATTCACCAAAAATAATTGCAACTAAACCCCCTAGCTAAATATAATTTTTTTAGACCGGTTTTAAATTTTTTTTTTGACCGAAAAATTTCTACACCTACTCGATTTTTTTTCTCGTGATTACGTAGGATTTCGATGGTATGTCTAATCAGCAAAAATGATTGTAATTGACCCCTGCAGCGAAAAATATTTTTTCCAGAACGATTTTAAATTTTCTTTTTGACCGAAAAATTTCTGCACCTACTCGAATTTTTTTCTCGAAACTGCGTAGGATTTCGGGGGTATGTCTATTCACCAAAAATAATTGCAATTAACCCCCCTAGCTAAAAATAATTTTTTTTAAATGATTTCAATTTTATTAATTTATTTTTTTAATAACTTTTTAAAGAAGCCTCAATCAAGAAATTGATAGTCTTGATTTTCTTCTTACTTTGGCTTCTAGAATCTCTCATTAAAATTTGTTTCCCATGGGTGAAGCAATTTCTACGACTGTAAGGTTTGTTAACGTATCTTTATCCAAAGAAGAATAAGCTCGAAATTAAGGAGCACTTCGTTTGAAAATTTGCTCGAGAAAAAAACAGTTTTAAATTTAAATATTGAGTTGGAAGGCTGTCGAAGGCAATCCTACGGCAATGGAGTCAATATGATTGGCCTAGAAACTTTATCTCGAAACCTTCTTTGGTTAATGGCTAACCGGAGGGCCATGAGCTAATGTGATACGGTTATCTGTTTCTAATTAGATGGTTTTATTACTTCGCAGTTTCTAAGGGCAGTTCTACTGTTCCCCGATACACACGAAACAGAACCGTGGCGGTTTAATCAAAACCGGTTCGGTAGATTTCGAGTCAACCTAGAACTAACAAACAAACAACCCTAACCAACAAACAAACTAACAAGCCAACTCTACAAACTATGTCTAACAAGGAGGTATTTTAGGCGTTTGTCTCCGATTGCTTGGAAACTTTGGGTTGTGCGTAGCGCATAGATGAATATTTGACAGTAGTTCTGGTACGTGTTCATAATTATAGGGGGTGAAATTGCCCTTTGGGCTTCGTAAAAAGAGATACAAAAATTTTATAAAAATATTCAAAAACGTGGAAGCACAATAGAATTGGCTTTAAGGTTTCATTCGATTCCAAGCTTTCGTTTTTGTTCGTATTCGTTATACCTTGTTCGCAAATGGTAAATCGATATACTCGTGGAAAAGAGCATTTATCGAAATATTTGAATTGCGTGTCGTTTTTGAAAAATGTTATTCCACCGTTTTGGTGAAAATCACGAACGCTAACGATCACGCGTTCGAAGTTTCCTTGTTTCCAATTTATTTCCAAAGTGTTGACTTTTTTCACCTCTCAGATTTGAAACTTTTCGTAATATTTCGCGTTTAATTGTTCCGTGTAACGCGTTCAAAGTCGAATTTAAAAGCGTAATGTATAATTACACAGAGAGAGAAAAAATGTCAGAGAACAAAATTAAATGGTGCTATGTATCCCACATTTCTGTACTGCTCGTATGCGTGCTTGTGCATTAATGCGCTCGCAAAGTGCAGGCTGAACTTTTAAAAATAAATGCAATTACGTAACTTTTCTTGCATACATCGATTCCTTGGGCTGTGTGCGAAATGTATTATGGTAATACGAAAGTAAACTACACCAGACATTTCAACGTTCTTGGTACACGGTACGATATTAAGCGTGAATAAGGTCGTATAGATAAGAGAATGTTTAAAGGTACGTATAATTAAAAAAGTTGTAATATCTCGCCAACTATTGAGTTTACGTTTATATTACCATAACGCTGTTGCACGTAGGGAGGACCAAGGAATTGATTCGTGCATGGAAAATCATATAGCAGCAGAACGTATAATAATTCTTGAGCAACGACGTGACGCGATAACGAAACTGAATAATATCACGAAGGGTTAATTTTGCCCTGTTAAAACTGTTCTCGTATCTCCGATGGAAGATATCTCCGAGACACCCTGTACGTACAATATATCCACGGTCTTTTTATTTGCGTAATCAAGGTAATAAAGAAGCTATCTATCAATCAATCTCTATAGTAGGTCGTGCCGATCAAGCGAAGATTCATTTTCTTTTCAAAGTCTTCGGTCGATAATTGAGTTGAACTTGACGTCGCAAGCGGGGAATAAATTACTCGCGATTCCCCGACTAATGCATTGAAAAATATTCGTCGAGGAATTCGAGAATAATTTTCAAGAAATTTTTCGTCATTGTTGCGGACTGAAATTGAAGAATTTCCTTTATTCAACGGAAAGACCCATTCTATCGTTATTATCATTCGCGACGACCTTCCGCGTGAACCAGGATTCCCAGCCTTGACTCGATTAAAAACAAAGGAAAGACACAGGTTCAATAGTCTATTAGATATACGAGTAGCTTTGTTCTCGTATGTTCCGGTGTGCAATCGACTCGCGACGAAGTAAACATGTCCATCGCGTTAAATGCAATCTGTCCTATTTTCGTTTCTCTACTCTCCAGTGCTATCAAACGTTAATAAAATCACGATTAATATTATTTCATCGTATCTTGTGCAAACTGAGCTACTAACATGTAATATTTTTAAAAGCTTCGATCTTTTGCAAAATAGTTTATCGTGAAAAATGCATAAATAGTAAAAACCTCAGTTTCGTTCAAAACAGTTTCAATAAACTCCATGGAAAATGTGAGCAAATATTTTTCAATGTTATACGAATTTTAAAGAATTATTTTTTAATCCAGTGCTATCAAATATTAATAAAATCACGATTAATATTATTTCATCGTATCTTGTGCAAACTGAGCTACTAACATGTAATATTTTTAAAAGCTTCGATCTGTTGCAAAATAGTTTATCGTGAAAAATGCATAAACAGTAGAACATCTCGTCTTCGTTCAAAAAGTTTCAATAAACTCCATGGAAAATGTAAGAAAATATTTTTCAATATTATACGAATTTTAAAGAATTATTTTTTAATCCAGTGCTATCAAATATTAATAAAATTACGATTAATGTTATTTTATCTTATCTTGTGCAAACTGAGCTTCTAACATGTCGTAATATTTTTAAAAGCTTCGATCTGTTGCAAAATAGTTTATCGTGAAAAATGCATAAACAGTAGAACATCTCGTCTTCGTTCAAAAAGTTTCAATAAACTCCATGGAAAATGTAAGAAAATATTTTTCAATATTATACGAATTTTAGAGTATTATTTTTTAAATTCGACACTGTCGATTTAACTATCTTTTTTTTTAAGGATACGTAATGTTTCATGCATGTGTTTAAAGTAGATCAAAAAATATTAATTTGAAAAATAAGTCAACGTTCCTTTACTAAGAATAATTCTGACGTCGTTGGATATGTCAATAAAAAATGCTTGCGTTCGATTCGAATTAATTTATGTATACGTTAAAAAGTAGAAATTTGGAAAATAATTCAACGTCTCTTTACTAAAAATAGTATTGACATCGTTGATTATGTCAATAAAAAATGCTTGGATTCGAATCGAATTAATTTATGTATACGTCAAAAAATAGAAATTTGAAAAATAAGTCAACGTTTCTTTACTAAAAATAGTAGTGACATCGTTGGTTATGTCAATAAAAAATGCTTGCGTTCGAATCGAATAGTCGGGAAACTACCGATCGAATTAAAATAAAATTAACATTTCCACGCTTTGGTTTACCTGCCAGTTGGATCCGTCCGATCAGCTCGTTCCGGCCGATGTTATCAAAGTCCATTACCATCACGTCCAACGAACACTCACGAATCTTTTCCCAGGGCACGTTGAAGGAGAACGCTTCGTTGAAAACCGGGTTCAGAGTGCACTTGAATATCGGGGTCTTTCGTTTCTCGATTCTCTTGTCGCCGAATTGCAGCCACACTTTCACGTAAGGATCTAAACAACGAGACAGAAAAAGGGGGATCCTCGCTCTCCGTTCCCCGTTACCGCCACCGTTCCGCGCCCGCCATTTGCATTCGCCCCGTCTCACCTGACTTCCCGTTGATATCCTTCGCCTTCAGGTTCCTTGCTTTCATGAGCGTCAGAGTCAGCACGGAATTGCTCGGATGATAGCACAACGAGCATAATAGCTCTCCGCATTTGTCCTTTGCCGGAGGCTTAAGAGCTTTCCAAAAGTTAGGTTTCTCCGAGAAGTCGACCTACGAACCGTCGAATCGATTAGAGATAGGGGGAGGGGGAGGAGGAGGGGGGGTCGACGTGCAAGCTCTGCGGTATTCAGTGTCGGGCGAAATGTAATATAATCGATGATTAACGATTATGACTGCTGCGCGATCAAACCCGATGATGCATGGTTACGAATGCTGAGTAATCAGTAAATTATTAATAAATGGCTCGTGTAATCGAACCGCGGGCAATTATTGGACACGGGTAGCCGGTTAATGGCGGAAACGATTACAGTATTCATTTTTATCGAGCCAGTAAGTTGATAATAGGCACGCTAATAACGATACTTAAACGTACCCTTCGGAGATTGTACACTTGTTAAGTTATTAGGTTTATCGATTGTGAAACTAATTTGCTTTTAATGGAATGTTTCAGCCGGCATAAAACATACGGGGCGGGTCGCTACATGCTGCCGTTCAAAGTAGAGATTCTCTAAATGAAATTAAAATCAATCGATGCCCCTCGACATTCTTTGCAAAAAAGTGTTAACCTATTTGTAATAAAAAATCATTAGTTCAGGAGATATTTTAATATTAATGTTATCAGAAAATTATGACTACTTTGTTAATGGTGTAATGGTTTTATCTACAGGAAACGTTTAATGCGATGACCTTTCTGAATCGATAGATTTATGGTTCCAGTAATGACACGATCACTCACATTAACCATGGTAGTTATACAACTTATTTTTCAAGTCGAACTATTTTCACATGTTGAGTAAAATTGTAAACAAAGCACTAAGTACGAAGACATGTATTATCGATGCAGGAAGTGTTGTGTAATGTACATTAAATTCATAATATTGATGAGAGAGTCTCTGGCAACATTAAAATTAAAATATCTCCTAAATTGATGATTTTTTAACATAAATGGATTAATACTTTTTTGTAGAGAATATCAAGTAGTATCGATTGATGCAATAAAAAATATATAATTCTGTTTAAATAATCGTTGACCTTCAAGTGCCCTCTACACGTCCACCTACAAGAAAATCAGTAATTCTAGATGGGGATATGTGTAACGACCTATCCTGTACATGGTCTTTTTTTTTGAAGCTAAAAATATTATGAATCACCGACGCTTCGATTCTGACACGATTTAAAGACGTAACAAATTTTATTCACGATCAACGAAGGGAAATTATATATTCATCAGTAGACTAGCTTCCGTTTACGCTCTATTCCTAACTTTGTTTGTACATTAGAATCCATCGATTCTGACGCAAATAAAAATTAACGGCATACTTTCCCAAGAATTACCATCCACGCCTTTGGAATAGCCCGCGTGATTGCAGGCTAGAAATCTAATTTATTATCGTTGATTAATCCGCGCGACGAATACGTAATTGACGATCGCGATTCCCGTGATTACTTGCAATTAATTAATGGCCAGCTACGACGATACCGAGCCTCGGAGCGTCCGTAGAAACGAACATGGCGGGTAACGAGAATTACCTGGCAGAGAGGCAGAAACATCTCCCCGATGGAATCGTCCCTCGAGAATCGATCGTAGTCGAACACGTGTAAATGCAGCACTCTGCTCTGCAACTTTTGAATCGGGAAACCTGCGATACGGGCAGAAAGTTGTCGGAATGGGTACACGGAGCCGTGTCGTGCTGAAATTCGACTTTACTCGATTTCGCGTTCCCTCATACCTTCGAAGTAGAACGTCTCGTTCCACCGTGGGTTCAGCGTGCGCCTTTTTATCTTCGTCTCGAGCCGGTGCTTTTTGTCCGGCAGAAGGGTCACGCGAACGTAAGGGTCGGACGTCCCGGACAGATCCTTCGCCGGCAAATCTTTACCCTGAAATCAAGTTACGAGTCTCCGCTGAAAGGTGATGCTCGACGAATTTATCTCCGTTCGAACCGTTCGAATATTTCAATTATAGCCGCGTCACGAACTCGCGTACTAATTGGCTACAAAATGGCCGACGCGCAGCGAACCTCGGGGCGAAGAAAACTTTGTGAAACGTTATTTGTAAAATAAGAATTTATAAAAAAGTTATTTCTACGAAAATCGATAATAATACCTTCATTTTATTCCCAGCATCCACGAGTTATTATTTTGGATAAATAAGTTACTTACTTGATACTCCTATAAATATTTTTACTGATAAAAAGAACATCTTTGTACACTGTGGAGCGTAACTATAGCACCACTGACTGATTTTTTAAATTTTTATGATTTGAAAGAAAAATTGAAAGAAAGTAATTGTACAACGTGAAGAAGCATTGTAACTAATGAAGTTTACAATACTAAGATATAATAGGATAGAATATAGGGTATTGAAAAAAGAAATATTATATTAGAAGATAGATTATTACGGAAAAAGAGTTTTATGTTATATTTTTATAGTATATTATAACTACACTGCGGATGCTTATGTCAATAAAATATGTCAAATATGTATCAATAACATGCCAAAATATACAGGAATATGCAAAATATACTCAAACTATGTTTAAATAATTGTATTACTTAAACATAATAATAATCAATTATAATGTCAGTTACAATGTGTTCCTAAAATTCTTCGATAATTTCGACAAATACTTTTTTAATAGGAGATATTAAATTATTTACAAGTGGAGAATACTGACGTACTTCTTTTGTAATTTTATTAAAAGAAATGCAATATACATATATGACATATGTTAATACTATTAATATTTAGAAATCGAAAACTTCATTGGTGCTATAGTCGTGCATCCGTAAAATACTTATATTATTAATATATTTTGTCTCAAATAAATGTAATTTTCCCTCTTTTTTCATAACTATAATCTCACTTCAGCCTTATTTCCATAACACTATTAATATCTAGAAATCATCGATTAATACTCTGGAAATCTCGAAAAATTCTAATGGCGCTATAGTTGTGCATCTGTAAAATACTCATGTTATTAATATATTTTGTCTCAAATAAATGTAATTTTCCCTCTTTTTTCATAACTATAATCTCACTTCAGCCTTATTTCCATAACACTATTAATATCTAGAAATCATCGATTAATACTCTGGAACTCTCGAAAAATTCTAATGGCGCTATAGTTGTGCATCTGTAAAATACTCATGTTATTAATATATTTTGTCTCAAATAAATGTAATTTTCCCTCTTTTTTCATAACTATAATCTCACTTCAGCCTTATTTCCATAACACTATTAATATCTAGAAATCATCGATTAATACTCTGGAACTCTCGAAAAATTCTAATGGCGCTATAGTTGTGCATCCGTAAAATACTCATGTTATTATTATATTTTGCCTTAAATAAATGTAATTTTCCCTCTTTTTTCGTTACTATAATTTCAATTCAGCCTTCTTTAAAAGACACTATTAATATCTAGAAATCATTGATTAATACTCTGGAAATCTCGAAAATTCTAATGGAAAATTTGGAACATTTTAAAGAACCAATCCTTCTTTCCCCCTACAAATGCATTTACTGTAAGATCCACGTTAAAAAAGTAAGTCGAAGGCAAACAGATACGAATTTATGTTGTGAAGAGATTTGAAGAAAATAAAACTTTTATACAAAATATTTACAGAGACTCGAGTGGAGATAGAACAATGTATACATCTACAAATCCGCGTAACTGGAGGACTGTGGTATCATGGAAACGCACTTTATGGACAAAAGGACGGATTTCTTTCACATCGTGAACACCGCTCAAAAGCATTCTTTGAAGCTCAACGTGGTATCTATCGATGTATGTCGCATTACGCTTTAAAGCTTTAAACTTTCTATAACTCCACGTGTGTCTTTCAACTCATTATCTGCGTTTTCAAAGTCTGATTCGATTCCATTTTCAATATTTATTCATGTTTAATGCAATGGACACCGGAAAAAGTTCGTTCCAAGCAATTTTCAGCACAGTGTGACGATATTAATATGGAAAATTTATCTAGTTTCTCGATTGATTCTCCATTTTCATACGTTCGTTACGTTTTAGCAAAACCATAAAAATGCGTCCCTTTTTTGTTTCGCAGAAGCGAGTTTAAAGTTGGCGGGACGGCGCGAAATTGATTCAAATGGTTTGAAACAAAGCAACGGAACGCTAGAACACGTTTTGGAGTAATTTTCGAGGCGTCCATTCGTCACCAGGGATGAAGAATTACGCGAATAAAACTTTCGACGGATAAGGGATGGCGGATGGAAAGTTTCACCACATCCTACGGTTCGAATCTCTCCGCGACTGCACACCTATTTTCGTCCACGACGAACTTTCCCGGAAATAAGCATTTCAGAAACAACGATAACGTTAAAACGGCCTTTACCTAATTTTTCGCGAGAAGAAACTCGAGACTTTTGCATTACCGTAGCTCGCGAGCTTCGCGGAACGTTGGAAAAAATTTGGACTGTTTTATTGGAATGAAAATTGTATTGCAAGAAAGTTGTGACTGTTTGAAGTTCACAGTGTAAATCCCCACGAACTTTTTCCGGTTATTTAATAATAACTTCTCGGACCAGGATGGCCGCGGTTGAAAAATTCTGTTTAATGAAATTGTCGTGGAATAATATCGCCGGGAACGTTCGCGTGCTCGTTTCGTGTTCCCTGTTAAGGCAATAAAAAGATGATTAATTAGCAGTCCGTCGTTGAATGTGGATCAATTCTGACCCATATTCCGTCTTTGTTATCAAACGTTTTCTACATTGTTTATGTTATCTTCCCGGTCACTTGATGTTTTCATTGACTCTATTTGTCGCACAGTAGGCGATAAGAAAATGGTCCCTCTGGGCAACGAGGACTACAATGAGACGCGATGCAATCATTTTTAATTAGAACATCGAGCACGGAATTTCGAGAAGGAACAAAGCTACTCCATCTTTTATGTGTGCACAACCAACGACCGTAAATATAGGATAAAATACGACGAATTTCAGAATATATTCGTAAACTAATGTTATCAAACTAATTAAAATGTGAAATAACATTTTTATTAAGAAGTTAGCGAGGATCAGAATAGACCCGGTCCCGCCACTGTAAATATAGGATAAAATACGACGAATTTCAGAATATATTCGTAAACTAATTTTGTCGAACTAACTAAATTGTGAAATTACATTTTTATTAAGAGGTTAGCGTGGGTCAGAATAGACACGGTTCCGCCATTCGTTCGTTAACACAGTTTTAATTGAAAAACTATGACGCAATATCATTGAGTACCTGGTAGAAAATAAATTGTGAATTAAAAAGATAATATTTGAAAGGGAACAAGACCGATTTAAGCTACGAATATTTGATGTATTCCTTTACCAGTATATATTATAAAAGAATTTTTTACTTCGTAGAATGTCTGAATGGATTTATCGGAGCGTGCATCGAGAACCGTTGTTCCAGAGCAATCAGACGCGATACGAAGCGACAAAAATTAAAAGCCAAAGTCCCAGAGCGGAATCACGGGAGAAAGAAGGTTTCCGCATCGAACCACTAACCTGTATAATACGAAGGATGAGCGTGGTATTCTGAAAGTCGTACTCCAGGCTGAAATGAATTTGGCCAACGTTTTCGCTAGGTTCCGAGTTGTCGATGTACATGTCGACCAAGGACATGGATCTGCTTTGTAGGAAAGCTTTCTGAAACGAGATACATCGAAACGGAATCGATCGTTGGGTTCTTTCTTTTCCGATCTTCCCGAACAACGCTCGGGTCTAACAATACAAGTGGAAACACATTACTATCGCGTTACGTGTACGCGAAACACGAGCACCGGGTTTCCAGTTATTTTTAAATTGCTCCAAGACACAGTCCCGTCATCTGTGTTTTACGTGACATAACGTTAACATGTGGATCAACACACGATATGCACATGCTCGTTAACATTGAGGTTAGTACAGTGTTCTATTTAATAGACGATATGTAGACCTCGGTAGCGGACACAAAGCAGGGAGAGGAAGATTGCCACAGGGGTTGAAATTCCCCTCCCCCTTCGATACAAAAAAAAGAAAATCTATAAAATGAGACTAATGAGAATGGCTGCTAGAATGAAACTGTAATTATTATTTCGCGTCTTTTATTAGCCTCCGTCCACTTCGATATACGTTATTTTCTATATGAAAATTGGTATTTAACGAGTCAATAAAAAGAAAGTTTATTTTTCTATGTGAACAATATTTGTTTCTTTCCAAGTTCGTTTAAATAGACACGTGTTTCCACTTTTGATAACGAGTCGACGAGACGCTTCGATATTATACATTCTCGATTCGAGATTTGATTTTCGGCCAAGTCTGTCCATAAATAATAACGATTTGGCCAGAAATTACATAGGCAAATTCTAGAAATAAGATTACACACAAATTTTGCTCGAAATCTAATCCCTTCTCGAAACGAGAACACAAATATCATCTTAATAGCCAAAATGCAATCTGCATGCTTCAAAACCTGTTTAAATACTTTCCCGACAGACGGGCAAACAAAAACGGTAACTGTTAATTGGGGAAATACTTCCGACGAACGGGAGCGCGGAGAAAAAGCTGGTTGAAAATATTGTTCCAAGGGGCGTCCGGATTTGGCACGGAATCACCGTTTTACGAGCCGCTGGAAAAACGATCGGGAGCCCCCGCGTGTTCGTCCGCAAACGCCATCTGTTTTTTTTTCTCCAAAAGAACATGTTTCCCGACTGAACGTACCGACGGGTGATCCCCTTTGACATTCTGCAGCTGTTTGTTTTGCGCGCCAGCGGTCGGCGTGCGGGGCTCCCCCGTCCCAGCGGCGACGCCGGCGACGCCGCTGCCGGAAATGGCGTTCGCGCCTGACCCGATGCCGCTGGTTCCAGCGTTTGCATTCCCGATGCCGGATCCGGAGCCAGACCCCGACCCAGACCCCGACCCCGACCCGGAACCACTGCCACCTAGTGCTGCGCTCGACGTCGATCCGCTCGCTCCTGCGCTTCCTGCGCTCGACCCGACCACGCCGCTTCCTCCGACGCCGGTTCCACCGGTCGTACCCGCCGCCTTGTTCGCCGGACTACCGGTCGTTCTGAAACAAAACCGACACACCGACCACTCCTTTACATCTTCTTCTTACCCCGACGGCTTCTTTCCCCTTCCCCTCCCTTTGCTTTCATCGAGGTCGCCGTTGTCGACATTTCTCGCTATCGATTTCCTCCTATTTCCATTAATTAACCCTCTATAACCCCTGTGTGGTGGACTCTCGAGTTGCACATTCCCCGTCTACCCGCGCAATACTGCCTCGCTTCTTGAGCCAATTTGCGTTACGGATACTTGCAATCACCTGCACCCGCCGTCTAAGTTTTCCTCGGCGGCTGCATTATTAATTACACTATCGAGTGGCTGTTGTTCCGAGTTCGATCAGATCCGAGGATGAGAAAAGCTCTCCACACGAAGTCTGACGATCTCTGTTCGATTGCAAGAAGAGAGGCAGTAGTTCGTTTTTATGAACCCGCTTGCCAAGATTGAGTAACTGGGTGAAAAGATTCACATAGTAATGGACATTTTAGGTATTATTAAGACCGTTGTGACTGACTATTCTTGGTAACCATCCTTTCAAACTCTTATCGTATTGTGGTGCTCCTGAAGGCAGAACAAGGAAAAGAGATATTGGGTAGTCAATCATGGAGTGTATCAGTTAAGCGCTTGCGAGAGAGCGATCCCTCTGGTGGTGATTACCAGAGATAAAAAATAAATTTAATATTTCCAGAATACGTGAAATATCACTACTATATAAATTCGTCTAAAGACCCTATAGTGACTCAAACCTGGCATGTTGTCCCAAAGTACAATTACGATTACCACAGTGTGCACAAGACAGCAAAGTAGAAGGGTTGACTTAAAGACCAGCCAAAACAGTTTTGGTTATAGAGGGTAAATGTCACGTCGTTGAAAACGAAATCAACGACAACGACGACCGGAGAGGGAACTATTGACTACGACGAACAACGTCTCAGGGGTAGTATCTAAAGCACGCAGGCTACGAAGCATCGCGCATATTGCGTTCGTCTCTTTTTCTACCCAGCTCTAAAACATTCAGACTAAACAGGCGCGACGGTACGTTTCGAAGGATATTCTGCGAATATCCGAAACCGGAGATCGGGTACAGTGTTGCCCCCCAGGCTGTTCCGTGGCCTGTGACAACCCGAAGGACAGGTAAATGTTCCAGGAATTAAGTGGTGTCCGTTCATCCCCGGCACTGTACACAGTATATTGCCTCTCGGGTTGTGACAGAGCTCTGGACTTGGCTGCGACAGCCTGAGAGTGGTGAAGTTTAACCGTTGTTATCTCTCAGATTTCATTCGTGTACAGTATATTGCTTGTCGTATCGTTACCAGGTTCGGGACCGAGGTGTGACAACCTGAGGTTCGGGTATTCAAAATTTGATCCTAATTGTCTTTCTGAACGAACTCGACATTTTATGCCGTATATCGTCTCTTTGGCTTTCTACCAATCTGCGACAACCCGAGAGACAGGTAGATGAAACTTGATCTTTTTTTTCAGGGCTGTGACAAGGCAGGGGCAGAAGGCAATCGTCGTTAAAAGCAAACAAATAATTACATGTCTCGTAATCGATTCTTATTTTATCCTTATCCATACTCGTAAAAATAAACCGCCTGATTCGACTATGAGACATAATTTCTTCTAACGCATGCATTATCCAACATTACAAAAAAAAGAGTTAAACTGCTCTAACGCTTTATCTATTATTTGCGGAATACAAATTACGATCACGTGAAACTATTTTACGTATCTTGATAATCGATACTGAAACGATCAATTTACTTTTCATAACTAAAAACTTACGAAAGAATAGATAAAACGATATTTTCTACGTCGGTTTTCTCTACGAAGATTTGGGAATCGAAATTTTGTTATCAGAACGATGCAGAACACGCAATGTGTATCTATGTCTACTGCAAAGGGAACGAAGGGCACCAAAGTACCTAGGCACAGCCCTGGTTTTGTATCGTCGCGACAATCTGAGAGACAGTAAGGTGAATTTTGAACGCTGTTACTTTTCCAGCGACTTCGTGCACGCTATATTGTCTCTGCTGTGACAACTTAAGAGACGAATAGGTGAAATTTGGTCGCTCTTATCTCCCCGGCTCGTTTACCATCGTGTGCATTATATTGCCTCTCGGGTTGTTACAGGGCTTGGGACACGAGTTGTAATAACCTGAGAGACAAATAGGTAGGAATCATCTCTTGGAACACGCTCGCATTTTTCATTCGATGGTTATCTTTCTAGCTGGCGCATTATATTGCTCCTCGGGTTGTTACAAGGCACGGGGACACGACTTGCGCCAACCTGAGAGATTTATAGGTCCAATTTTATCGCAGTTATCTCTCAGGTATCGCGCTCGTCTTTGTACACAGTACTTTGCTTCTTGTGTTGTTACGGGGCTCGGGAGGAAACTGTGACAACTTGAGAGACAGATTGGTGAAATTTGCTTGCCGTTGTGTCTCCCCGACGCGCTCGTATTCGTATATTGCCTCTCGGGTTGTTATACGACTCGGGACTGACAATGAGCAGTGGCAACTTGAGGGACGCACAGGCGAAATTTAGATCGCTGTTCACCGGTCGCGACTTTGTACACACCGGGGACGAGAGTGAGAAAGAATGAGAGTGTGATGTGGTTGTCGGTGATGGGTACGACTGTGACAACCTGAGAGACAGTATTTTACAACGGGGACGCGAAGTGTGAAACAATGAACGTGATCGGGGATCAGGGAACAGGGTTCGTGCGAGTGTTTTCTCAGGATACGATGGGGGAATTAACTACGCGACAACTCGAGGGACACGTTGCTGTACAAATTCGTGGCCGTACACGAGTTGCGTACATTGTTCGTCGGTCGAACGGATAAAACGTTCGGCGTGTGCGATCGCAACGGTGTGCCCAAAGGGATCAAGGGTCTAAAAGACAGATTAATCGAATAGAACTACTTACGCAATTAAAGCAGCGCCCATCCGAGAACGGAATATTTCCATTAGGAAGGAAAAATTGAAAGAGAAGATAGAAGAGTCAAGTGAAGCAGTATGAGAGAAACAATAGGTATCGAGTAAAAATTGTTTTCGCTATTCTCCAACACGTTCGTATACTTACTCCAATTGCGCTCTGGATTCCAACGGTAACACGCCGAAAGGAGGCATGAAACAAAAGAAAATGTAACAGGAGTTAATGAATTTGGATGAACCTGAACTCGTCGTGAAGGATTTCGATAGACGAAAGGAGAGAGAACTAAGAAAAAAAAGGGAAAAAGAAGAAGAATAGAGACGGAGAACTTTCGCTTCCACGTGAGATTCGAGGCTCTCGCGTCGGCGTGTCTCGCAGGGTCGCAACCTTAACCTTTAACGGTACTTTCGTACGTCTGAATCGAGGGGAAGAAAGAAGCAAAATCATCGTCCGAGTCGGGTGCATCGCGAACGGTTGCATCAAGCACCGGCGCCGCATGAAAATCTGGAAAGCAGCAGCGAGAGGAAGGCTACTCGGAGCGGGAGAGAACCGGATATTATAGACAGGGAAAGTCAGAGTGAGTGAGAGAGAAAGAGATAGAAAGATGCGCCGAGTGTCGCGAATAGTCGTCCAAGAAGCATAAATCGCTCGCGGACTCGCAAATTGCTGGGACAAGCTATCGATCGTATTAAGGGGTTACGACAGGGTGACAGGCTGACGAACAGGGTAACTCTCGGAATTTTTTTTTCTCGAAGTTGGCTATGCAATTTCATCGAATTGTACAAACCAGTCAGTTTCGATTGCTTTCGTTTAGTTTCGACACACGTAAGTTCCCTTTTTTCGTTTGTTATGAAGTTGTTTAATTTTATAAAAAAGTAAAGTTGTTAGTGCATGTACTTCTTGTTTTGTTAAGCTTTTGTATTCGTGTGTTTTAAGATAGTGATAGTTTTCTTAACGCAACATGGTGGTCGTGATCATCTTAATAAAATTCTCTCTGAAGATGTTTCGCGGTCGTTTTTAAGGCAATTCTGTCTAACGATTTTGATTATAAAATCGTTTAATTAATCACGCGATAATTATTGAGTATATAATTTTAGAGTTTATTCAATTTGAACGTCCTCGGAGATAACTGAGTAATATCGTCGGAGAGGTCAATATTATAAAGATGGCTGCGACCTCGACGTCGAGTTAAGATTTTAAATGCAGAAGTTCGAAAGTTAGGTACGCTATTTAAAATAAACTATGAATTAGATAGGAAATTGTAAATAATTTGTTGAAGTCTCGAAATCAAAATAATAAAATGCTTGTTATGCGAGTAAAATATTGTTACGTAAGAACATTTACGTGCAACTGTTAGCGTACGCGGCGAATTCAATGGATTTTTAATTGCATTATGCGGATTTATTCATCGAATGCTCAAAGTTTAACCCCTCGCAAAAGCACACCATATAATCACGAAAGCTGACTGAATGCTGCCAATTATAATCATCTTGATTGAAGTAGTGAGGTCGCATCACGGCAAAGGCACTCAGCTTGCCATTTGGTCGCGAAAGTGTCAAGTGTTCTTATACGGTGCATTTATGCGCTGCAGCTAATATAAATACAAAACGCAATTTGAAATTTGAATTTTGTCTATTTTATTTCTAATTTACCGATAGAAAAGCCAAAAGAAACAAAAGTAACAAAGTTAGTTTCCACCAGTAGCTCTAGTTTCCAAAATTTTTAACGCACCCGTTTTTTAAATCTAATTCTTCATAGTAGTAACAAATTCAATCAGTCTTATCATTTGTATAGTTCGTAAATGTTAAGTATTAATTTGTAAAGAATCTGTTGTCGAAGATAACTCAATTTCGAAAAAAAGAAAATCAAGAAACGTTACGATGATAAAAAAGGAACAAAAGAAGGGAATTTACGTGTATTTTTATTTATTTTTTAAATCTAAATGTAACGAGAAGGAAGATTTAATATTTAAAATCCTGTGCATAAAATCTGTATTTAACATCGCGTTCGTAAACATTATTTTGGGGTTTTCCAGGAATATGGAGATTTATATTCACAGAGAATTCGCGGTAATTATTAAATACAAAATTCAAAAATCTGTGGATTTCCGTCCAAACCGGACGAAATTTTTTTAGCTACTGTTTACGTACAGGCTACACAATTTACGGAAATATTAGCTACAGAACGAGCTACGAGGCTTCCAACGAGTAAAGGGTTCTCTAAAAGCTCTAATCTAATATACAATTTTAAATCTACGTATGTACAAGTCAACTTTGTTTCAGATGTCTACGTAAAATGCAACCCTTAGCCGTCAGTCATGCTCGACGGAGAAATATCTAATCATGAACAATTTCAGTATACATGTCGAAGAAATTAAAAAAGTCCTTTCACAGTTGCACAAGGGTTTTTTCGTTTGGTATATGTTCAGAGATTCGCAATATGGAGTCTCCGCTACGTTGCCTGAATTCCTCGACTTCGTCACGTAACAGATTGTTTTCTCACTGTCACGACTCCAAGATTCTTGATCTTCAAAAAATGATTGCATCGAGAATTTTAAAAAGGACCAAGAACGAGAATTCCTGTTTTGATCAACAGCGAAACGTTCGACGAAACTGCGTATCCGTCTTCGTTGAAGCATCCCCATGAACGCTACGCGAGTTCTCGCCCTGTCGCCGGATCGCTACCCCTAAATTTCTATCATTAGTTATCAATTTCCCGTGTTGACACTTCTTACCTGGCGGTGTAATACTCGAAGAAGGCAACCAGTATTTCCAAAGACCTCGAGACGGCAGCCCACATGGTTTCTATCGTTCCAAAACTGTTTACAGTCACGACTATCGCGCGTAACCGCGTTCACATTTCCCGGAAACGCGTGCAATTAGTCCGTTCGTACGATTTCGAAGACGCGCGAGTCGCGTGCCCCCGCACGCCTCACTCTCTTCCAAGATGCGTAGATCTCTTCTCTCTTAAATCGAAGACACGCTCGTCGTTCAAAAACACGACGCGAGATCGATCCCGCTGGCTGCGGGATCCGCTATGCTCGATCGTGATCATGCCATGCTCGCGCAACGGTTCCCGGAAGCATCGGTTCGACCATTCTCTACCGGTGCTTTGATCGTACGAGAACTCGGATCAAATCAAAACATTTCCAGGTGGAAAGAATTTTAAAAACTGTCGGAAATTAGAATTCATTGGATGGTAAACGATATTTTCATCCCTGGGACTCCCCTATATCGACACGTATACTTTCATTTTTCTAGACTGATCAGGGAAAGGAATCTTGATTTTGGGAAGCTGATCGGAGCTAGGGAAGATTCTTAATCGGGAATAATTATGGAAAGAATTTCTAAAAGCTGTCGAAAAATAAAAATTTATCGAGCAGTGCTGATAAACATTTCATTTGATATCTTGAACGCCCCTATATTGACACTCGGTGTACTTTTATTTGTCTACACTGGTCAAGGAAAGGAATCTTGGCTTTGAAAGAATTTTAAAAATCGTGGAAAATGAAAATTCATCGAACAGTGCTGATAAACATTCGATATATGATATTTTCATTCCTGGTCTCCCTTATATGCCATGTGGTCCATATATGTGGTTTTATTTTTCTAGTTTTACGATTTTCCATCGGGAATAATAGTGGAAATAATTGATAAAAATTGCTGCAGTTGTTAACCAACAGAGTGTTCCAATTACTAATTCTTAATTGCGATGCACGAGCTTTTAATTTTACGTATCGAATGGAGCATCACGATACTGGAATAAATATAAATTTGTGCACCACGATCCTAGAATAAATATAATTTTAAATGAATATTTCTATCGTTACAAAATGAAGGCAATATTTTAGGTGAATTTTTTCGTCGTGAAAATAAATTATAAATTATAAGTCTTATTCGCTATGTCCGAACTGTAAATTTGGCTTAAGGAATGGTGCACCAAGATCCTAGAATAAATATAATTTTAAATGAATATTTCTATCGTTACAAAAGGAAGGCAATATTTTAGGTGAATTTTTTCGTTGTGAAAAGGGTGAAAATAAATTACAAATTATAAGTCTTTCTGGCGATGCCACGAGCTGTTAATTTGGCGTATGGAATGGTGCACCACGATCCTAGAATAATGTAATTTTGATTTATATAATTTTAAATGAATATTCGTTACAAAAGGAAGGCAATATTTTAGGTGAATTTTTTCGTCGTGAAAAGAGTGAAAATAAATTATAAATTATAAGTCTTACTCGCGATACACGAGCTGTTAATTTGGCGTATGGAATGGTGCACCACGATCCTAGAATAAATATAATTTTAAATGAATATTCCTATCGTTACAAAAGGAAGGCAATATTTTAGGTGAATTTTTTCATCATGAAAATAAATTATAAATTTTAAGTCTTACTCGCGATGCACGAGCTGTTAATTTGGCGTATGGTGCACCACGATCCTAGAATAAATATAATTTTAAACGAATATTCCTATCGTTACAAAAGGAAGGCAATATTCTAGCTGAATTTTTTCATAGTGAAAAGGGTGAAAATAAATTCCAAAGATTGCCTAGGGTGTACGATATGGGGCCTGCGTGGGGGAGGTAGCGAAATAAATCGAAAATTAGTTCGTTCCACCGCGTGAAACGATAGGAGAGACGCGTCGCGACGCCATCTCGGGAAGCGTCTCGCGGCCGCGTGCGAACGTCGTCCTTCGAACGGCCACGAACGTGATCCGTAACGCGCGCAACCGCCGCTTCGAATTATCCAATATGGCGAAAATAACGGGCGACGGCTGAACGACACGGCGAGAATGTACAGGACACGTACAGGACAATGGTGGACAGTAGGTTGACGGAAAGGGAGAAATTTGCTTGTTGGATTGGTCGGGCGAACGGTTGGTCGGTCGGTCGGTCGGTCGGTCGGTCGGTCGGTCGAAAGAAGGGGGTTGTTGGATCGATCTTAGCTACTCGCCGGTACCACCGCCACCGCCGCCACCACCACCGCCGCTGCTATACTTGGTGGAACAAATATAGCGACTCTCGTAAACGCGAGCAGCCAAGACGGTACACAGATTTTATTCATGAATGACGAATAAAAATTTTAGATCACATCGTAAACTAGATTTCCCTCGCGCCTCTCGCCAGACCATTCAATCGAATTAACAGATATTTTCGAAATAACCTCTGATCCTATTCCAGTTGCAAAGTAATAATCACCCACGTAAAAAAATATTTTTAAAAATTGGAGACAATTTTTACGTTTGTACGAAGTTCCGAAAGAATTTCTCATTGATCGTTATTATATGCATTATCAGCTTCTGAAAATTTCTCAAAATAAACTTTGATCCTATTTAATATATTGGAAGGTAATAATCACCCACGTAAAACAATATTTTTATAAACTGAAGACGATTTTTACTACATTTGTACGAAGGTCTAAAAAAATCTCTTATTTATCGTTATTATATGCATTATTAGCTTTTGGAAATTTCTCAAAATAAACTTTGATCCTATTTATATTTGTAGGTAATAATCACCCACGTGAAACAATATTTTTAAAAATAACTAGGGACAATTTTTGTTAAGTTTGTAGGAAGGTCTAAAAAAATCTCTTATTTATCGTTATTATATGGACTATTAGCTTCTGAAAATTTCTCAAAATAAACTTCGATCCTATTTAATATATTTGAAGGTAATAATCACCCACGTAGAATAATATTTTTAAAAATAACTGGGGACAATTTTTACTACATTTGTACGAAGGTCTAAAAAATCTCTTATTTATCGTTATTATATGTATTATCAGCTTCTGAAAATTTCTCAAAATAAACTTTTGTACAAAATTCCGAAAGAACCTCCCGTTTCTCGTTGTTATATGCTTCATTAGCTTCTTAATCGGGCTGGATAATGAGAAAAATTTCTGTCCTGTTGCGAGTGCCATTCTTAAAAATTGAAAAGACGAGGTTAACTTACTGCGAATACTTTCAAGCCGGGGCAACTTTATTGCACGAAACTTCGTTACCGCGCGAAGGGACAACGTTTAATGGTCCGCAATAATCCGGGAAAATGTGACAAATTAGAATACAGAAGGAGACTTAAAGAAACGAGAGCCCACGAGGGATAATCGAATCGGATCTTGAAGCGAAGGAATGGAGTTTAAATATAGTTTTATTGAAATCCGATAACATACATACACCCCACACGATTTAAACAAAGCTTTTTTAATAGCCAATGCGCGATCAGAGAGATCGTTTGTGTTTACGAATGGACCTAAAAGATTTATTCGTTATTTGTGAATAAAAGACCAAATCTGTGTCTAAAAAGTCTTTTCACATCTTGCTAAGATTTTACCAAGTAATATTATTATTAAAAATGTTTCTGCCAATTTATTTTACTGGTACGCCATATTTTAAAACAATAAAATTGCATATACGTGCAAAAGGCAAATAATTGTTAGAATCTCCAGAACAATCACGACCCCTTTCCTATTCCCGACGTTCCCAACCTTCATTTAGGTCAACGTCAGGAAGTAAAATTAATAATGAGATTGCATTCACAGCGAAAATTAATATAAACTTCGTAAACGCGATTGAAACGAATTTTAAATTTCCTACCGATGTTTCAGAGATTACGTAACCACGTCACTAACCAGCTTTGCAACGTGATATTACCGTGATTGTGTTTTACTTTCTCAATAATACACAACGACCGTAGGTGGTTTATCCATGGTTTTTTCAAGCCAGTGTTTTTCCAAAAATTAAATAAATTGAAAACGTGATGTAACGCGTGATCAATATTGACGTACGCTGCGCCGCTTGATTTATTTAATTTGAAAAAAAAATACCAAAATACCATGGTCCAATCACATACAACCCTTCATCTGTTATTGCACATAAAATATAATTATTTAATGGAACCTATGGAACCGCTATATTCGAGATCAGTGTTGAAAAATAGCCTCCAATTTCTCCCTCGCCATTGTGGAACAATATATGTACTCGTGTATATAATAAACACGTTTAATAATAATAATAATAATAATAATAATAAAAAAATTTCCAAAATTTCTCCATATTTTTTCAAAGATGTTTACTTCGATGGAAATCTTGGTCTATGTACACTTTTCTGGTTAAGACCCCCATAAAATTTATTACCCGCCTTTCGAAACGGATAGTAACGATCTAAAGCCCGCAGATGATGCAATACGAAAGCTTTTATGACTCACTATATGTGACACGCGAATCTCGTGAGGAAACAACGCCACGTATATGCGACTGTAATGATACCCCTAACTTTACTGCTCTATCGCTTCAATTTTATTTTATGCTCGAAAGCTAGTACACTTCGTTTCGAAATTACGGGCATCGATACTGTGTACAGTAGTTTATTTAACCGACGTTTATGTTACCACGAAGCGTGACCCTTCAGAAAACGTCAGAAAGACCTTCGAACCAATACATTTGATTATTCGCCTAACGTTCTCTTTCAACGAACCAACGGTACTTTACGTACAAAGTGAGTAAAAAAAAAAACGAGATGAAAGTAGAAAGTCTACCAATATTTTGCTAGAAAAGAAATCTTGATAGGATTCGTGAATTTCAATGAGGTCGCAAAATCGATTACCACGACGATGTTGAAGTTACGTAGTTCCGAAGTGTCGGGAAGTAAAATTTTATCCCCCATAGAAAATGTCACGGGTAATGGCGTAGCAGCCGACGTGTTAATGAAATTACTATAACCATAACGTAGTCTCTGGAGAACAATTTTCCAACCGATTGGTGGCAGAGAACGCGTTAGCCCTAATCTTACTGGGATGCGACTTTGGGTCACATAGCAAGTTCGAGCAACTTTAGGGTCTATAAATAAGTTTATACAGGATGTTTTCGTACTGATCGCGCGCCACGGAAAGGGGTGAATTTACATGAAAGAAACTCGTGAATACAGTGACATTTTTTTCGTACGGAATAGATCGATGCTGGA